AAAAAAATACTGGTTATATATTGTAACTCATAAACCACTTATTGTGTATGATATTTATCATATATTGTTTCTCAGAGATGAAAATAATGGTAAAAATAATTGGGTTTCTAATGTTCGTGACCTGTTGTTTAGTATTGGTTTAAACTATATGTATGGTATCAGCAGTCTGACATAAATATATCATTAGATGTTATAAAAACTAGGATAAAAGATCAGAATATTCAAAGCTGGTTTGCATCTATACAGAATTGTGAGAAACTTGCAATGTACAGTAATATAAAATTAGATTTTTGCTTTGAAGATTACGTAGATTATAATTATAACTATTTTTTTCCCCACAAAGCTACGTTCTGGTACTATGAAGTTAAATGTTGAGGTTGGGCGGTATACAAATACATCAAGAGAAAACAGATTATGTACTTGTTGTAATATGATAAGTGTTGAAGATGAGTACCATTTTACTTTAGTGTGTCCTGTGTATAGATTTGTAAGGCTGCAGTTTTTAACAAAATACTATTGTTCGTGGCCAAATATGACAAAACTAAGGTATTTGTATCAAACAAAATCTAGATCATTAGTTGGAAAATTGTGTAATTATTTGAAATCTGCTTTGCAGATTAGATCATATCTACTTAGTTGATTGTTTGTCTATTTTCCTATCTTAGAATATTGTTTTCTGCTGTGTATTGTGTGTCACATGTAAATATGTTTGTGTTGCTATAGATTTAACTACTGCTTTGCATATAAAGAATTCATTCATTCGAATAGTCCACTAAAATCTGGACTTCTGTATCCTCTCTACCCCAATGTGTTTATTATTTACAGTGTTTAAGTTCCAAAGGGGATGACAAAGATCTTCTCAGAGGCGGATTTAGGGGGGCAGGGGGCCCGCCCCCCCCTATTTTGGGAAAAATTTGGTTGATTATATAGGGAATCACTGAAGCATGACTAAAGCGGGCCCCCTCTTAGGCAGTCAGTGGGCCCCCACTTATGAAAATTTCTGGATCCGCCACTGCTTCTTCTTCCGATTACGGGAAAGACTCCGGTGCCGGAGTGTGGAATATCCAGGAACTGTGGCGCTATGTTCATGTAAATGGAGGTCGGAAATTATAATATGAAATAAAATATTTGCCACAGTCCAATTACAATTAAAATAACATTAGTTGTAGCTTAATGTTAAACATATTCACATTATGTACAGTGGCTTAAATACAATAGTTAATTATCCAGACAGGATCCTCCAAATGTTAAGGTGGAGATACCACCATTGAAGGAGTCTAGGGAGGGTGTCATGCAAATTGCCTCCGGAAGATCATTCCAAGCTGCAATAGTGTTTTGGAAAAAGAAGACTTATAATAGTCTTTACTTGTATATATATGCCGAAACTTATGTTGTCCTCTAGGACGCTTGCCCGATTGTGTCAGGACGTCATTAGTGACTTCAACAAACAACCCATTAATCTTATAAATCAAAACAAGCTTTGCTTTTGTTCTGCGGGATTGTAAGTTTTCCCATTTAAGATACCATAGATGTATAAACACAATGGGTTTATACATCTATGATCATACCAATGACAGCTCCTGGTGATATATCATTGTAATCATTAAACACATATCTTGCTGCCTTACTCTGAATCTGCTCAATTTAGTTAATTTGGTGTTGTTTGTAGGGATCCCATACTGGTGAGGAGTACTCGACGGTCGGACGCACAAGTGATGTGTACGTAAGGTTTTTAACCATACGTGTGCAGTTTTTCATGTTTCTACGTAAAAATCCTAGAGTTTTAATTGCCTTTGAAGTTATATTAAAAGTATGGGGCCCCAGTCAAGATCGTTGCTTATTGTAACACCTAGGTACTTGCTGTCCTTGACAGAATTAAGTACATGATTATGTAATTTATATTGAAATAAGTTAGGTTTTGACTTTTTAGAAATATTTATGACAACATTTTTCAGGATTAAATTTCATCTACCACTCAGATTCCCAGTTTTCAAGGTTTGATAGATCTTTTGGGAGTACTTGAGACTCATTTATATTATTTGATGTTTTATTAAATTATTTTTCCTTATACCATAATAATTAAGTTTTGTTATTAATCTTTCGTGGGGGGACTTTATCGAAAGCTTTAGGAAAATCTAAAAGAATTGCATCAACTTGATTACCTTCTGCCATATATTTGGCTATATCCTGAATGCTTATGACAAGTTGAGCTTCACAAGAACGTTTACTTCTAAAGACATGTTGGCCATCATTTAAAATATTATTCAAATTTGAAAGTTCCCTGATGTTACTAGTTAAATAAAATTGAGAATGGAAATGGGGAATATGTCAAAGAGACAACAACCCGACCAAAGAGCAGGCAACAGACGAAGGCCACCAATGGGTCTTCAACGCAGCGAGAAAATCCCGCACCCGGACTCTAAGACCTTACATGTTCTAAGACCTTACAGCAAATAGCCGTTAAAGAAATCGGTCTATAGTTAATTGCGTTATGCTTATCTCCCTTTTAAAAAATTGGCACAACATTTGCCTGTTTCCACTCTTCTGGAATTTTTTCCATCATTTATGGATTTTTGAAAAAAGAAATCAAGGAAAGGGGATATCTCTTCCGAGAATTTATTAAGGAAAATAGCAGGGATATTGGTGGGGTAGGGGCTTTTTGTCTTATGCGGCATTGAAGATTTATCTTCTTTAGTAAATGCACTTTTAAATTGCTCATTTAAAATATTTGATTGTGTTTGTGGTACAATCATAATTAGCTTTATTGATTTTTACAGACAATACAGAATAAAGTTAAATGTTAAACATATCGTTCATGCGTTATTGTCAAGAAATAAGACAGTATGGTGATCGTGTAACAGTGGTTTGATTCCGCCAGTGTGCTTTATCCGGAGGATGAAAATTCCTAGTGTGTTTTATCCAGCAACAAAAAATCACTAGGGTTTTTAATCCGGGTCCAGTGTAAAATATCCACCACTCATGATAAGATTCTAAAGAGAGTTTTTTTAAGGGGAAATATATAAAAAATGGGGCTTGGTATTTTTGGGGGATATTTCAATTAACTAAAACTTGCATAACTGATTTGTGTAAAAAATGGACACAGTAAACTAGTGTTTTTCATCCACGGAATTTTCACACACAAATGTTTTGAACCAGGAATGATTACACTAGTGCTTTTGTACCAGGAATGATAACACTAGTGATTTTGTACCTGGAATGATTGCACTAGTTACTTTGAACCGGGATTTATTACACTATATAGTATTTTAGATTCATATATTGATGAAGTGTTTTAGTACTCATTTTGAACACATGATAACACAATATAATGCTTTATTTACCGTAATTAAATATTAATAACTTTCTATGCAAATACGTCAAATCATATGCTTTTAAATTGTCACTAATTGTAATATTCATATATACTGGATTGTCGAAGTTTTTCTGTGCATGTGCGTTTTGTTAGACTTCTACGTCAGTATCTCTTAATCAAACTGGTTCCTTGAAAATTATTCAAATTTTAACCTATTAAATTATGTAAACAATAAACCGGTCTAATATAAACAAAACAACGATATCAATATCGAAGCTTTCACACTATTTTAATACATCCAATATTCTCTAGTGAAAAACAGTTACCCGGAATAAAAACACAGTGGAATGAAAGTACGCTTACAATCGGTCGGTTGTTGGGTGTTAGAGTGTGAACTCATATAAATATTAATTCCAATGTAAGACTAAGGGACTTATCATTTTTTATCTGGGAGGGGGGGGGGGGGGGGGGGGGGGGGGGCTGGTCAAAATGCAGGGGGGATCAAGTTTTTTTCTGTATGTGGAAAAGGGGGGTTCAATTTTTTTTATAAATTCAATGTGGGGGGATCAATATTTTTTGCACATAGAAATAAGTAGTTCACATACTTCAACGGAGACAAAATGTCAAGAAGAACATTACACTTGACTCAAGCTAGCGAACAATTGTAGCGAACAATTAGCCAGCGAACAATTAGGAGGTATAACTAAAAACCACAATTTCACATAAGACAATCACGTTTTTTTCGAGCTAGACCTAGCGGACAATTATGAGAATATTCAAAATATAAAACAAAAACGAATAAAAAAAATTAAAACAAAAGGAATACCATAAAGATTTTGACCAATTTAGAGATTGTGACAGGCAACGACTGTAAAGGTAACATAGATGAGATATTATCGTATCTACTAAGACAAACTCCAGAATGGTTTATGTTTAAAAATCTGAAGTTAAGTTTAAAAAACTGAAATTGTAAAAACGAAAAGGAAGGAGGGGGCATACATTAAGTTGATTTTTGACTCATTTATAGAGATTGTGACGGTACACGACTGCATAGGTGATGCAGCTGAGACATTAGCGTATCTATTAAGACAAACTCCAGGATGGTTTATGTTAAAAAAATCTGAAGTTAGGTTGAAAAAATTGTAATTAAAAACGAAAAGGGGAATACCTTAAGTTGATTGTTGTAGAGGGGACATTGGCGCATCGTGTAAGAAAATCTCCAGAGTGGTTTATTTTCGAAAATCTGAAGTTACGGTTAAAAAACTGAAATTGTGAAATTGACAAAATGAGATTAAGGGGGTAGGCCAATTTCAGTTAATTTTGGACCAATTTCAAGAGATTGTGACGGGCAACGACTATATAGGTGTTGTAGAGGAGACAATGGCGCATCGTTTAGGAAAATCTCCAGAGTGGTTTATGTTCGAAAATCTGAAGTTACGGTTGAAAAACTGAAAATTTTATTGTGATATTGACAAAATGAGATTAGGGGGGTAGGGCACTAAAAGACAAATTTTGGACCAATTTCAAGAGATTGTGACAGGCAACGACTATATAAGTGTTGTAGCGGAGACATTGGCGCATCGTTTAAGAAAATCTACTGAGTGGTTTATGTTCGAAAATCTGAAGTTACGTTTAAAAATTGAAATTGTGAAATTGAAAAAATGAGATTAGGGGGGTAGGCCATTTAAGTTAATTTTCGACCAATTTCAAGAGATTGTGACGGGCAACGACTATACAGGTATTGTAGAGGAGACATTGGCGCATCGTTTAAGAAAATCTCCAGAGTGGTTTATGTTCGAAAATCTGAAGTTACGGTTAAAAAACTGAAATTGTGAAATTGACAAAATGAGATTAGGGGGGTATGCCAATTTAAGTTAATTTTCGACCAATTTCAAGAGATTGTGACGGGCAACGACTATATAGGTATTGTAGAGGAGACATTGGCGCATCGTTTAAGAAAATCTCCAGAGTGGTTTATGTTCGAAAATCTGAAGTCACGGTTAAACAACTGAAATTGTGAAATTGACAAAATGAGATTAGGGGGGTAGGCCAATTTAAGTTAATTTTGGACCAATTTCAAGAGATTGTGACGGGCAACGACTAAATAGGTGTTGTAGAGGAGACATTGGCGCATCGTTTAAGAAAATCTCCAGAGTGGTTTATGTTCGAAAATCTGAAGTTACGGTTAAAAAACTGAATTGTGAAATTGACAAAATGAGATTAGGGGCGCTGGCCAATTTAAGTTAATTTTGGACCAATTTCAAGAGATTGTGACGGGCAACGACTATATAGGTGTTGTAGAGGAGACATTGGCACATCGTTTAAGAAAATCTCCAGAGTGGTTTATGTTCGAAAATCTGAAGTTACGGTTAAAAAACTGAAATTGTGAAATTGACAAAATGAGATAAGGGGGTTGGCCAATTAAAATTATTAATTTTAGACCAATTTCAAGAGATTGTGACGGGCAACGACTATATAGGTGTTGTAGAGGAGACAATGGCGCATCGTTTAAGAAAATCTCCAGAGTGGTTTATGTTCGAAAATCTGAAGTTACGGTTAAAAAACTGAATTTGTGAAATTGAAAAAATGAGATTAGGGGGGTAGGCCAATTTAAGTTAATTTTGGACCAATTTCAAGGGTTGTAACGGGCAACGACTATATAGGTGTTGTAGAAAAGACAATGGAGCATCGTTTAAGAAAATCTCCAGAGTGGTTTATGTTCGAAAATCTGAAGTTACGGTTAAAAAACTGAAAATTTTATTGTGAAATTGACAAAATGAGATTAGGGGGGTAGGGCACTAAAAGAAAAATTTGGACCATTTTAAAGAGATTGTGACGGGCAACGACTATATAGGTGTTGTAGAGGAGATATTGGCGCATCGTTTAAGAAAATCTCCAGAGTGGTTTATGTTCGAAAATCTGAAGTTACGGTTAAAAAACTGAAAATTTTATTGTGAAATTGACAAAATGAGATTAGGGGGGTAGGGCACTAAAAGAAAAATTTGGACCATTTTAAAGAGATTGTGACGGGCAACGACTATATAGGTGTTGTAGAGGTGACAATGGCGCATCGTGTAAGAAAATCTCCAGAGTGGTTTATGTTCGAAAATCTGAAGTTACGGTTAAAAAACTGAAATTGTGAAATTGACAAAATGAGATTGGGGGGTAGGCCAATTTAAGTTAATTTTGGACCAATTTCAAGAGATTGTGACGGGCAACGATTATGTAGGTGTTGTAGAGGAGACATTGGCGCATCGTTTAAGAAAATCGCCAGAGTGGTTTAATCTGAAGTTACGGTTAAAAAACTGAAATTGTGAAATTGACAAAATGAGATAAGGGGGTAGGCCAATTAAAATTATTAATTTTAGACCAATTTCAAGAGATTGTGACGGGCAACGACTATATAGGTGTTGTAGAGGAGACAATGGCGCATCGTTTAAGAAAATCTCCAGAGTGGTTTATGTTCGAAAATCTGAAGTTACGGTTAAAAAACTGAATTTGTGAAATTGAAAAAATGAGATTAGGGGGGTAGGCCAATTTAAGTTAATTTTGGACCAATTTCAAGGGTTGTAACGGGCAACGACTATATAGGTGTTGTAGAAAAGACAATGGAGCATCGTTTAAGAAAATCTCCAGAGTGGTTTATGTTCGAAAATCTGAAGTTACGGTTAAAAAACTGAAAATTTTATTGTGAAATTGACAAAATGAGATTAGGGGGGTAGGGCACTAAAAGAAAAATTTGGACCATTTTAAAGAGATTGTGACGGGCAACGACTATATAGGTGTTGTAGAGGGGACATTGGCGCATCGTTTAAGAAAATCTCCAGAGTGGTTTATGTTCGAAAATCTGAAGTTACGGTTAAAAAACTGAAAATTTTATTGTGAAATTGACAAAATGAGATTAGGGGGGTAGGGCACTAAAAGAAAAATTTGGACCATTTTAAAGAGATTGTGACGGGCAACGACTATATAGGTGTTGTAGAGGTGACAATGGCGCATCGTGTAAGAAAATCTCCAGAGTGGTTTATGTTCGAAAATCTGAAGTTACGGTTAAACAACTGAAATTGTGAAATTGACAAAATGAGATTGGGGGGTAGGCCAATTTAAGTTAATTTTGGACCAATTTCAAGAGATTGTGACGGGCAACGATTATGTAGGTGTTGTAGAGGAGACATTGGCGCATCGTTTAAGAAAATCGCCAGAGTGGTTTAATCTGAAGTTACGGTTAAAAAACTGAAATTGTGAAATTGACAAAAACGGAAAAATTGATGAAATTTTCGTTTCCGTTCTCTAACTTCACTTTGCCTCAACCAAATTTTATGAAACTTAGACACAATGCTTATTACCACAAAACGGTCTCAACTGTATGTGGAAGTTGACTCATGCATATTTAAAATCTTGAAAAATAGACCAACACTCATCCTTAATGTTTAAAATTAATTATTTTCCAATTAATCAAAGTGACAATTTATATACCTTCAGACATTTATTGACATGTACAATATATTTCAGATCACTTGAAGTAGTATTGGCAGTAATTTTAAAGTGATCATTTAATAAGCATTTTAATGGGCTTGATAGTGCTTTCTTTTTTCGATATCTCACTTTTTGTAGTAGTCATTCAAAATTCGTAATTTGTCTAAATAAACATATCTTAAATAAATAAATATCAAAAAATAATAAAGAAAAAAACATACGGAAACAGAAGAGGGCAAGTGGCCGAAAATGGTTTATTCATTACAATAACAAAAATAGACATAATTTGAAAGTCACAACTATGAAATGCTTACGTTTTCCCTTTCCTTTAGATGACTACGTATTCGTGAACATATACATGCAAACAAATACATATTTTCCTCTCATTCTACGTTTAGAATTAACAATGGGAATGGAATTAAATGAGGTTTTTCTAAACATTTAATTATGTATACTTCTGTTAATATTTGAAATGTATGTTCTTATTATTTAGAATAACAATAACAATAGGTCTTTACAGATACAAGTTCTTAATTACTTCATTTGATTTACGGATGAAAATGCAAAGGGATACTGAATTGCACATAACTATTTACATCTTATTTACTTTTGTTTTAATGAGTTTGGACAGATGGGCATAAATCCTTCATTTGAAACAATTAAACTTGTTATAAAATATTGTAAGAGGAAATCTGTCACTGAAACCAATTAATCGACCTTAAAATTTGATGGTTCACAAAATAAAATTCTAACCTTAGAGATTTGGTAAATTGTTTTAAATGGCTTTCTATAATCATTATCATGATAATCTATCATGTGTTTCTAGATTTCAATTCATGTTTTATTAAAGAAACAGGGGGGGGGGGGGGGGAGGGGACACACCCATTGAATGAAAAGTGATATTACATGTTTAATATAACATAACAAAATAACAAAACATTTAACATAAATAGTTTAAGAAAGGTCGTAATGGAATTGTAGCAAACTTTGCACACTTTTAAATGACTTTGTAAATAAAAAAAAAAATACTCCGGCGTTATGGTCATTATTTTTCATAACAATTCTTTCAGTGGAATTTTGATAAAGTCGTGTATTTCTTCCTGAAAAGGTTCTGTTTCGTACACATCGTTATGTGTGATTTCTCGAAATTTCTACATTTTCTGCTATTTATCCGTAGCAAGTTAACTTCTCCAGCTAAAATTTTACCGCTGGTAAATCATTTGTTATTTGTCTCATAATTGTTAAATTCATTTAATGGAACTCATACATATAAGTTTTATAACATCAAGAATCAATTTCAAATAAATTTCAAACCTTCGTTCAGTTTAATAAAGGAAATAAAATACGAAACATTCTTACACATTTTTCAAATATTCACAAATTGAACCTTATATACCGGTATATATAATGTGTTGGTGAAACACTTATATTTTCTTTCCTCCTTCGTATTCAACTGACTTGCCGATTGCAGCCTGCAACCAACAGTCCGCTCCGGTATCACTTGGTCCAACTCTTTATTGGAATGATTGAAATCTATATTGTAATCACAAGTCAATTTATCTACAAAACTACTTTTGAAATACCAAATGGTTTTTTTTCAATTTTTAATTTTCATCCTTATGATACTTTACTTCAGAACTTGTTCCTGTATTGTTATGAATTTCAGTTAATGGTCAATTTCTTAGTGAAGATTCGTTTAAATTCCACTTATTAGATACATTTAATAACGCTTACTGTTACCTTGATGGCATTTTTGCTTCAAATAATAAAGAATTCCCTAATCATACTGCTGGAATTTACCCCAGAGAACTTACTTTAAATAAAAATAATAGTGGAATATTACAAGTTCACCCCGGTACCTCTCATATGTTAGATATGGAGAACAACAAACCGTAAAAACGGTAAGATGAGAGGTACAAGAGGCTGGGTATGCGGCCTTCCGACAGAGATATGATTTGAACTCCCCCACATCGGTGTTCAATCAAATTATCTTTGCGATTTGTTGGATTTTCCTTTTTTCCCTTTTTTTTTTGTTTTGTGGATGAATGAATATATGTCCATGACATTTTAATCAATGAAAAGCAGAATTTGTAGTGTTTTTTTTTTTTTTTTGGTCGGATAAGTCACTATAGTATTTCTTGTACTTGTTATGTTGTATAATAACGACAACACGACATGTATTTTTTATCAAAATCTGCCATTAATACACGCAAGCTATTAGCTATGAAGATGAATAAGCTCTAAATCGCCATGAATACATAATATAAGACATTAACATTTAGCATAAGGTTTAATCAGTACTTGGAGCAATACTGCTCCTGACTATTCCACCTATCCTAGAATTAGTGCATATGGATCCCAACACTTGATGATTCTAAAAAACACAAAACCGACCTGTTTGATAAACCCTTCACGGACAACACAGTTCTCCAGCTTGACCCAACATACATTTTGATTTTATTGACAATTGTGTAACAACCGGCCAAAATAACTGGTCACTTCTCCCTTGGATATTCCTTTCATATGACGTATCGTAATGATGCCTCAGATGTATGTATATGTTTGTGCATCATGTGACTTTGCGTGTGTTTGTTTGTTTGTTTGAGGTGTGTTTTTTTCTGTTTTGTTTGTTTGTTTGTTTTGCTTGCTTGTTATGTTTTTTATGGTGGTGGATCTAAATGTTGTTGTTTTTCATTTTATTATTTCCCTTTTTTTTTTTTAATCTGTCTTTCATTTCTAACACTCTGCTATAGCTGCTAATACAATGGCAATCAACAAGCATAACCTGACTTTGTCGTATTACTAGCAACCTTCACCACACTTGATGACAATTAACACACAGAACATGTCTTTGTCATATTCCATATTGCTTATGACCTTCACCGCAAACTCCAATCAACTGACCAGAACACAAGATGACCGCGTTATCTTTATATTCGAGGCACCCAAGGGTGAACTTGTAATAGTGGAATATTACAAGTTCACCCCGGTACCTCTCATATGTTAGATATGGAGAACAACAAACCAAAAACCGTGCAGCTTTGTGTAAAATAGTAAACATACTGAAACAAACTATACTCATTTAATACAGTATTTATTATCCAATACTTATAATATAAAAAATACATAAAACAGTAATGAAAAAATCAAATGTACCTTAATTAATTGTTTAGGTTTTCCCCTTTCTTGATATACAATTAATCAAAACGTCTGAAAAAAGTGCTTTTAAATAATTGCGTTTTCATTTCAAAAATTTCATAAAACAAATTCAAAACTTAAACTGTTTCAAATTACTTATACTGACATAGTTTTGTGAAACTTTATCGAACAAAGACGACCCCTGTCCTAAATGTTTAGCAGCGGAGGACAATGTTCTAGCTGGACCCTCGGGGCTCATTAATTTTCCAACATGTGCATAATGGTCAATCATTCCCTTGGAACTCCAACCCACATGTTGATTGATCGCTTGATCATCGACTCCTAACATTCTTAAGGTAATTGCGCAACCGCGTCTGCTGCTGTGGGACGTTTCTCCATGATACAGATTAATATTCATTAAGTGCGTCTTTAACCGGTCTGTCATACATGATGATGATACTGCTCGATTATTAATTTGTTTTGATTTATTGTCTCTAACACGATAAATGAAACCCTTGTTTAAATCAACATCTAATTTACTTGCCATACGTTTGTAATCCTTTACAAGTTTAATTGGACAAATATCTTCATCTAGCGACGGCAAGATGATATAATTTTTTGGATTGTCGATTGAGGCCGTTTTCCCTGCCTGTTGTGATACATAAATGCCTGTTGAATCAGGTATTTCAAACAAATTTTCGGCCTTAAGTAAACCAAGATCCCCACCCCTGTTGCCTGAATGACATAACAGAGAAAAATAAGACAAGTCACGCGCAAATAAAAACTGTGATATAGGGTCTTTTTCCACGGACACTTTGTAGGATAAATATCTACATAGTTTTCCTAACTTGTCGAACATTAAAGGAGTCGCTTGTTTTCTTGTAATATTAGAATTAGATTGCTCCAAAGACACTGCTTGAATGTGTTGCTTCAAGATATGAGATGAAGCCGGGTTGCCACTGTAAAGCATTGGGTTCCATTCTCCAGCTCTTCCAATATCTCGAAAAATTGCTCTTATTTTCCCTAACAAACTGTCTACCGACTTTACCGTGAGAGTTTTGGGACAACTGCAGTTTTTAAGACCATGTTCTGTACGATATACGCAATTATCCTCGTGCAGTTGTGTTCTGCCATTTTTTTCTTTGAACACTAAGAATTTCCTGATATCTTCAGGAACGGCGTTGGAAAGATTTTTCAGAGGTTCCAAAGTAACGAAAAATTTCTCTTATTCGGTTTTTAAACTGCATTTCTGTTTTGAATAACTCCCCGATTTTACTAAATTGTCAAGTTTGTCAATTCGTTTTTCAATTTTATGCAACAGTTGATCCCTTTCTTTCGAACATTCGTCTAAATATTCTAATGACTTATTTCTCGGAGAACCACATATTTTACAAAAAATATAGTCTACATCGTTTGCTGTTGCACATCCTTTGCATAACATGTATGGACGTAAAATATTTGCAATATTAAAACCCTACAACAAAATAAAGAAAAAAAATGACAACTATATAAATTTACAAAAATGTTAACTAAACATACATATTTACACTTTGGTAGAGAAAAACAAACAAACGCTAGTCATGTCACTGTCCCTACATTCCTACTTGGGATACACATTTTAACATACTATATAAATTGTTTGTCAATATACGTTGGCCATCCTCATTCAAATGCACATTATCCCTTAAATGTGAACTGTTAATATTTACATTGTCCATGAATAACCACTTATGTTCTCTGCATGCTTGTTTCATTTTTGCATTAAATCTCTCCGATCTTATATTTATATAATCGTCCTTAGTGATAATTATTGATGACAAAATTACTTTTACATGCGTAAATTGCTTACAAATGTTTTCTAACAACAATGTTAAAGATTCAAGCTCATGATGTGCTACAGATAATTGGTGAAATTCATTCAAATACAAATAACATTTACTCAAATTATTCACACCGGCATGCACAAAAATAGTTTGTGGTGGATACCTATCGACCATCTTTTGAATATTGTATTGTACATTGCGAATAAGGCCTCCACCTTCTGAATAAACATGTACCTTAGGGTTCCTAAATTTCTTATCTGATAAAAGAAATCTGATCATTGAATCACCGACACAGAGAAAATGAAAATTTGATGTAATCGTAGGGTTATTTAGAAAAAGCATTTTCCCATAAGATGAACCGGAAATAAAGTTCTGCACCCTAACCGCCCATAAATTCCATGGTAAACCATATCTATCAGACACATAGCCCTTTTTCGTTGGGTACTTTAAAACATCTTTTTGACCTTTGAGGCCTAGAACAAACGCGTCACTAATAAAATTGACAAAATTAGGCAGCCATAAAGGAGTAGTATTCTCCGCTCTTATCACAATCGTATAACTACAACTGCTTTCTTTCAAGAAAGTCATAACTGGTAGAATGAGATTGAAAGGTGGAAACACGTAACAGTTTTCCTGTTTGTTAATCTCTTGTGTGAAAACATTTATACCCGAGGACAAAGGAGATTGAAAAGGTGTAAAATGTTTTAAAATATTTCCTTTTTTGTCTTTCATGCTATTTGAGTCCAAAGCCATGAGATCTAAAGTATGTCCAGAATTTCCTCCGAAATGCTCTTGAATAGTCTGCCATATTGCTTTCGTAATTGTTGCGTCACACTTTGTTAAAGAACGTGAAGGTGCGTCAGCGAGATTTTGTTTTGACGGTATATAGTACAGGTTCAAAATAATGTCAGAATCAATAGTGAATTTGAAAATATCTTTTATTACAGAATTCAATTGAGATGACCTTGACCCCTCGTTGTCCCACGCATATATCAAAGCTTTGTTGTCGACATTTGCATCTATTCGAAACCCCTTAATTTTGTCTCTGAATGACTTCAAAACATTTAATAACGCATATGCTTCTAGAATCATAATTGGCAGAGAAAGCATTTCTGCCACCCACGAATCACCTACAGTATGTTTGATGTCATTAATTTCGAAGACACCACCCCATTTGAAGGTGGATGCATCTGTAAAAATAGTCACTGATAAATGCCTCTCCCTTTTCCACTCTAATTTACCTTCCCATTCATCAAGAAAACGCCATGACGTAATTTCATCCTTGAGATCTCCATTCAATGTTATGCCTGATTTCGACTTTATACCAAAAGAAATCGCGCTATTCATTTCGCGGGTATACAGCTTTGCGGCAGGGACTGCTAGCATGAAAGAAATACACCTGCCTGATAGTTTTTGTAAATCTAAAACGGATAGCTCGGACTTCGCGAGACAAGCCTCTCTGAAACCTACAAACTTTTTCTTTTTACTTTCAGTTAACCTGAAGCAACGCTCTACAGAGTCTACATTAAACCCTAAAAAAACTGGTGATTGTGTTGGTACAAATATAGTCTTTGTTAGATTTAAACAGTATCCGAGCCTGTTTAATATTTCACACACAATGTAATTTGCTAACAAAGCGCTTGGTATACCGGGTTCTATCCCTTCACTTCGAACTTCCTCTACCAGTCTGTCGTCAATGTACAGAAATATCGGTATAGAAAAATGTTTCCGTATATAAGAGGTAGGTTGCATATTCAAAGTATGGTATATGTAACTTGACAATTTAAATCCAAAAGGTAGGGTCTTACACCGATAATAATATCCTCCCCACTGAAAACCGACAAGATTGAAAGACTCTTCTGATAACCGAACATTATCAAACCCAGATTTATCGTCTATTGATGTGAAATAAGCACCTGTTTTAACTATCCTGGGAATATCTTTTAAAGTATCTAAGTTGAATGGTACACTTTTGATCCAATTATTGAGATACATAAGGTTCACACAAAGTCGAGGTTTTGTAGGTTCTACTGTTAAAGGGGCTACTATATGCGGTGGTTGTACTAGACCCACTTTCCCTAGGCATTCAAGTGATCCATTTCGTAATCTCTCTGTGATCGTCTTTGTTATAAAATCAATAAAAGGAACACAACTGTTCGAATTGTTAAACATTCTCGGTGGAGGAAATTCGTGGTCATACTTTTCTCCCCAAAATTTCCCTTTGAAAGACGTAATGTATTTATGTATGTTTACCCCGTTTTCTATCCAATCTAAGACTTCCTTAGGTTGCGACGAATTACATATAATATGCTTCCATTGGTCTACACGCGTATGAATTTGTCCTGCCTTAAAAGAATTTGGATTTAAAAAGACTAAGTTATCAGTCGACGGAACCTGACCTTGTATCAATGATGCACTAAATGATTTTTCCGCCGAATCGGGCTTAATTTGTAACTCCTTTTCACTTAAAAGTTTCCCCTCTAAATTGACATATGATGCTAATCTAACAAATTCATTGGTCGGGTCGCTATCAAAAATCACATTTTTTTCCCATGGTTTCATTCGAAAGTTTTCCTGAAATTATATATATAACTTGCATCAGAATTTAGTTATATGAGGTAATATATTTTTTATGTACAATGCATGCCAACATCTAATGAGCAACATCAACGAAAAACTTAACGATAAGAGTTCCATAACTAGTTCTGGGGTGGAGGGATAAGGCAATCCCTAGCCATATGACCAGGTTTATTACATCGATAGCATATCAATGGGGTGCGGGGTCTTGACCTTCGTGGTTGTTGAGAAAAACGTGGAGGTGAAGGTCCTTGTTGATAACTAAAACGATTGTACCCATAATTATAAGGCATGGGCTGAAACATGCCATACCCTTGTGTATTTACATCCTCATTGTTTTTTGTCATTCCGAAATTTTTCATTAACTTTTGTTCCTTGTCTAAAATGCTTTCTTCTTCTCTGTTGCAGACTAATTTCAACACAAGTGCTGCAGCAAAAGATGGGTTTGACTTATGAGAATTAAATCGGTTTAAAATTAGGTTTATCTTGTCTTTAATATCACTGTTTTGCTTTCTAGCTAAACTTTCAAGAATTACAAGTCTCTCGTGCAAAACGTCAATATCAACCTTTGGTCCCTTGGATGCCTCTTCTTTCACGTCTCGCTTGGCTCTTGCTAAATCCGATTCGTCATCGGCTGTTTTCTTTTCTTCCAACTTCTTCTCCAGCTTATCTATTTTGTCCTCCAGGGCTTTCATCTGTTTGGGAAAATATCACATATAATAACACCCATTGTTTATCTTTGTACAACCACAGTTCTATACCAATTAAAATGCATGCATACCTGCAGTGTTTGTTGATACTGATTGTTACGGTTAATATAACTTCTTAAGATACTCTCTACTATTAAATAATACACATGTTGTTAATCACTGTAGTGTGGATAATTAATCCTGTCCAGCTTTTCTTGCAGCTGCCAACTGTGACTTTATCTGAACTTTTATCATACACAAATAAATTTGATAAGAGAAAATCTCAAGGAAATAGCGTATTACCGGTTGCATAACCGCCTCTCAAATTATAATCCCTTATGTCAAAATATTACCATAATTTTCCAGGGTTGGAATGAAATATAAGCATTTTTATACTTTTCATATTAACTTGCACAAATCCTTTCTATCTTATGCTCCTCCAATCACAATTTATAGATAAAAATATTTAAATTCAGTTAGATAATGAAGACGACAATGCACATACAATGCCTTCTTAGTAACAAAGGCAGCCTGTCATCTTCATTTATTTAATAAAATTAGCATAATTATGTAATGCGTGATTATAACTTTTTTTTTTTCCTAGTTAATATGAAATAATTTTATCTGGGAGTAAAACTTATGTGACCACAATTAAGTCTTACGCTGGTTACTGTATCTCAAATGGAGGTATGCATACTACAAGACTAATTTAAGAAACTTTTTTTTTTTCTTTTTTTCTTCTTTTTTTTTTTATAAAAACCTACTAACTGATTTCTATTTACTAACGACCCATTTCGTACCTCTTATTCTTTTTTCTTTATTTCTTTCTTTCTTTCAAAATTATTATAACTTTTAATATATCCTCTTCATCTTCTTTTATTTCCATTTTCTTACAAATGACCCTTTAATTGCAAGTAATACTCCCCTGTGAGCCTTATTTTTCAACGAATTTAACAAAACTTATTCCGTATAGTTCTTCCACAACATCTTCTTCCTCTTACTATAATATTCATTAAAATTTTACATTTATGTCTTATGATCTCATTCCTAAATAAGTCTCACGTATTACGACAGACCTTTCTCTAGCGTATCTTTTCTTTTTACAAATTGGATTATTTCATACTCGTTTATACATATGTGGTATAATTGCTAATGAGACAACTCTTCACAAGACCAAATAACGAAGAAATTATCATTTATATGCCACCGTACTGTTTTCAACAATGAACAAACTTTAAGATTAAAACATTTCATTTTCTTCTCTCTTTCAAATTGCATGAAAAACTAACAATTAAACAAACTTAAATTTTAAACATTAACCAACTTTGTCTATCTTCATATTTCTTTCGATAAACGTTAAAATTTCTTTTCACACCCTTCTATTTACCATACTTTTCTAAACCATTTTTTTTTTCTTTCTAAATTGCTGACAGTTAACCATTTTTTTTTTTTTTTTTTTTTTTTTTTTCATTTTTTTTTTTTTTTCATTTCCTATATACATGATATATATTTTCCGTCTCTATTAACATAACTTTTTTCTCTTGCTAACCTTGTCTGTACCTTTAATTCATCCTTTAACCGCAGACAATTTATAATTATCTCGTTTATTTCATATAATTTCTCTCTTGAAGCATCAAAACTAATCTTAAATATTCCAAATACTTTTCTTCACATTTCTTTTCTTTAACATTAATATATATATTTTTCTCTCTCAAAACTATCGATCATGCATGGACGACCCTTCATCAATCATTTTCAAATTAACCACATATTGTTTCACTTAAACGTAAAATCCTCTTTTCACAGTATTTTAGTTACCAATCTTGTATCCCAATTTTTTCCATTTGTTTTTCTTATCTATTGCCTCATTTTGTCTTTTCCTAATTTACTTCATTTTAACATAATTATGACTAAATTTTCTCGTTTCCTATATAATTTTCCTTCTTTAATAACATATCTGTTTTCTCTAGATAACTACATCCACATCTTGTTTAACCTCAGACATTTCATAATTATCTCATGTATTTTATATTTATTTTATTTTTCTCTCTCTTGAATCATCAATAAAAATTTCTAATACACATTTCTCTCTTTTAGGCAGTTCGTTTCTTTCTTCTTTTTTTTTTTGTATGCTAAAACTTAAAATCCTCTTTTCATCATTCTTAAAGACCTTTTATTTTTTCTCTCCTTTTTAATTATTTTTTTTTCTCTCTTGCATCATCAATAAAAATCTTAAATATTTCGAGGAAAACTTTTCTTTACATGTCTCTCTTTCAGACATTTCATTTCTTTTCTTCTTTTTTATATGCTAAAACTTAAAATCCTCTTTTCATCATTCTTAAAGACTTTTTTTTTTTTTTTTTTTTTCTCCTTATTAATTATTTTTCTCTCTCTTGAATCATCAATAAAAATCTTAAATATTTCGAGGAAAACTTTTCTTCACATGTCTCTCTTTTAGACAGTTCATTTCTTTTCTTCTTTTTTTTTTATATGCTAAAACTTAAAATCCTCTTTTCGTCATTCTTAAAGACTTTTTTTTTTTTTTTTTTTTTTTTTCCTCTCTCTCCTTTTTTTTTTCTTTCTTTCTTAATTGCAACCTTTTAACAAAACTATAGCTAATTTTACTCATTTCATATATATTTTCCCTTCTTTATTAACAAACCGTTTTCCCTGGATAACCACATCTATACCTGTAATTCTTCTTTTTAACCACAGACGATTTATAATTATCTCATGCATTTTTTCCTTCCTTTTTCTCTTGAATCATTAATAATATGTCTTTCCTTATGAATAGTAATATACACTTTTAATCTTTGTAAGAAGTTCTTTAAATCATTTCCCGGTGATGTGCTAATTTGATCATTAATAATCTAAGCCTTTTAATATATTAATACATTTTTTCTAATGTAACCGCATTGTCATTTATCCCATAGATCTGAACGTAATAATTATTTACAGCACTGAACAAATCTATAAATAATATATTCTTCCATTCACCTAAAAAAATTCTTTTAAATAACCTCATTCAATTTTGAATGTGTACTTAAGGTAAATAACGCCAAAATTAATTTACGTTAACCAAAACCATTTATAACACGAGACTCTTTTCGCATACACTTTGACCAAATACACGATTCTGTTTAATGCCCGGATCAAATGAAATATGAGCATTTAACTTCTAATACCATAACAAAATTCCTCTTGTTTAACAAGAAAACTTTTTTTTTACTGATTAAACTGTTCTTACCCCAGTTGTATCATTTGCCTTTTTCTTTTTTTTAGGTGGCTCCGGACGTGTAGATGGCCCAGCCTCCTCATCATCTTTTCCCTCCTGAATCATGTCACCACACTGTAGTGCAAAATGCACCAGTTTGCAAATGTTTTCCCTGGAATCCTGGATTCCACCCAACAGCATAATTTCCTCCAGTTTGACACCTTTTGAATTTGCGATGTTGAACAGTTGTAGTTTGCTGAATGTTGGCAAACACTTCCCTTCATACTCCTCCATTTCAGGATCTTCTTCTTCCCGAAATTTCCTTAAAACTTTTACAATATCCATTTTGCGTCTGATTAGGACCGCAAACTCCAATCAACTGACCAGAACACAAGATGACCGCGTTATCTTTATATTCGAGGCACCCAAGGGTGAACTTGTAATACTTGTATAAACAGCAATACTTTTGCTTTTTGCAGATTTTGACATATGATTACATTTCAGTTTCATACGAAAAAATTCGTAAGGGTTCCGTGGAACCCAGTGACTCGCCTACTTTTGCTGTTAGTCGCAGGCTCAACAAAAATGGGGAAATAATTATTACAAATTTTCCTCTAGATACTATCTTTTGATTGTAAGAAGCTTCTGTTCAAGTTTGGAAGGAATCCAGGATGGTTATGAATCTAATAAATGTTTAAAAAATTTAACTGTAGACTGTATGTAATGTTAACTGGAAGAAAAACTAAGTCCATTTATAAGTAATATACGGAAAAACAGGAATTTTTTTTTACAAAATTTCCTTCTAGATACTAGCTTTTGATCATAAACAAGCTTCTGTCCAAGTTTGGTACAAATTCAGGATAGTTTAAGAAAGTTATTAAAAGTTTGAAAACTTTAACCACAGAGTGAATGTAATGTTAACAGGCAGAAAAACTAAGTCCATTTATAAGTAAAATACGGATAAACAGGATTATTTTTTTAACAAAATTAACTTTTGAATACTATCTTATGATCATAAACAAGCTTCTGTCCAAGTATGGTACAAATCCAGGATAGTTTAAGAAAGTTATTAAAATTTGAAAAACTTTAACCACAGAGTGAATGTTATGTTAACTGGCAGAAAAACTAAGTCCAGTTATGAGTAAAATACGGATAAACAGGATTATGTTTTTACCAAATTTTCTTCTGGATACTATCTTATGATTATAAACAAGCTTCTGTCCGAGGTTGGTACAAATCAAGGATAGTTTAAGAAAGTTTTTAAATTGGAAAAACTTTAACCACAGAGTGAATGTAATGTTAACTGTCAGAAAAACTAAGTCCATTTATGAGTAAAATACGGATAAACAGGATTTGTTTTTACAAAATTTACTTCTGGATACTATCTTATGATCATAAACAAGCTTCTGTCCAAGTTTATTAGAAATCCAGGATAGTTTAAGAAAGTTATTAAAATTTCAAAAACTGTAACCACAGAGTGAATATTTGTGGACGTCGCCGACGACGCCGGACGACGACGACGACAACGCCGACGACGGAATGTAGGATCGCTATGTCTCGTTTTTGCGACAAAAGTCGCAGACTCGACAAAAATCAAAAGAAAACTTCACGACGACAAAATAGACGATTTTGTGCCCTGGATCGTTTTAAAACGTGAATTGATCGGTCTTTTTCGAGTGTTATAATGTTTTTTTCGTGTGAATATGGTGTAAAATGTTAACAAACAGACTTCTTCTCTTTTCGTAAGACGGGAAATAAAAGTTTAAAAAAAACGTCAAAGGTAAAAACATCAATTGAAGTTATACACGTTGAATATAAAATTATCCTTAGAATGCTCTTTTTGAATATTCCAAAATGTAAAATAAATCCATCTGTAGGGTGAAATTCTAACATAAAAACCGATCTAAAATTGATACTTTAGGTCAGAAGAGCATAAGTTATGGAACAAAATAACATTTGGTTGAGACAAATTGGAGTTAAAGAGAACGGAAATGAAAATTTCAGCAATTTTTGTAATTGTAAAGGAGTATAACTCTAGAACGGTAAAAGTGACGCCACCAAAATTAAAATTTGATCTGTGTTTTGTGGTAATAAGCATCGTTTGTTGATGTGGTTCATAAATATTTTTCGTTTCTCGTTTTTTATATAGATTAGACCGTTGGTTTTCCCGTTTGAATGGTTTTACACTAGTAACTTTTGGGGCCCTTTATAGCTTGCTGTTCGGTGTGATCTAAGGCTCCATGTTGAAGACCGTACTTAGACCTATAATTGTTTACTTTTATAAATTTTGACTTGGATGGAGAGTTGTCTCATTGGCACTCATACCTTATCTTCTTAAATCTATATATTGTGTATAAGCTTTATGACAATTGGTTGAAGCAAACTAAAGTTAGAGAACGGAAACCAATTTTGGGACGCACGGACACAGGGACGTTCAGACGGACAAGGGTAAAGTTTAATGCCCCTCCGCTACGGTGGGGGCATAATAAGCTAAAAAATATTGATAGGTTATCGAGTTCCTTTTTGTGATATGTGATTTTTTTTTTTAAATGGGGCGAAAAGGATGACTCGGACTTTTACATTAAATTTAGCATTGGCATTATTTGGGACATACGAATGCACGGACGTACAGACGGACAAGGGTAAAGTTTAATGCCCCTCCGCTACGGCGGGTGCATAATAAGCTAAAAATATTGATAGGTTATAGAATTCCTTTTTGTGATATATGTTTTTTTTAATGGGGGGAAAAGGATGACTTGGACTTTTACCTTATATTAAGCATTGGCATTATTTGGGACGTACAGACGCACGGACGTACAGACGGACAAGGGAAAATCTTAATGCCCCTCCGCTACGGCGGGTGCATAATAAGCTAAAAATATTGATAGGTTATAGAATTCCTTTTTGTGATATTTTTTTCACTAGAATTATTTCACACGCGAGTAAATGTAAATATATTTATTTAAAAAAAAAATATAAGTTCGATATCGCACAGCTAATTCTTCTAACATCTAGAAACAACTGATTAACATAAAAGTTGACAAACACTAAAATTGGAACACGTGCAACCTAGTGCACGAGAAAGATAATAAACCGTTATTAGCTACCACAGACTCTTGCCATAAACTTGCGTATCGTCCCCATAACATTTATGAATTTGACAGATGCTGAGTTCGGACAGAGAAAACAATAAACATTGATATAAACATCTATTAAAATTTTAAATTCAAATCAAAGTTGTGTTTTAAATTTCGTTTTTGTATTACTGTTCTCTCATATTTTCCATTATTTTGTAAACAAAAAATTGAAATTGTCTCAGTCAAATAATTTGACAAAGTTTATCAGAAGTTTAGCTATTACCCTATTATACTCAACGAAGCTCGGAGATAAATGTACGTTCACCCGTTAGAACGTTTAACGACCGTTGACTCGTCGAAAAAAGGGAAGGGGTGTGGTTTGGTCATTCAACAAGATAATGCCAAAGCTTTGAGACAAATTACTTCTTTTTTTCAGCAATTACTTCTTTTTTATTAGTAAAATAAAATTAATAGGACTGTATTATATTTCTTTCCATTTTTGAGGACCATTATTATCAATTATGTTGTGTGCAGTATACAAATATGTAATAATGTGCACGTTTAAAATCATCCATGTTGTATGTGGATGGCGAAGGAGTTGACAGAAAGAGATATGCAAAAAGAATATAAAATGACATTGTCAAAGTTTTAGGACCGTGTCATTTCAATATAAAAAATTACTTACTTCATTGTCGTGTTTGTGGACTACCGACTCAAAAGAATGTTGATTTCAACAAAGTGTGTTGTAAACGGTGTATACATACTGTCGGTTAAATTTCGCGGGAAAATTATTGATGTACTTTTTTATACAAGTATAAAAAGTAACTTCATTCCATTATACAAGGTAAACCCCTCCCCCTATTTTTTTTTAACCTAACTTCAGATTTCCAAACATAAACGATTCTGAAGTTTTTCTAAATAGATACGCCAATGTCTTCTCTAATGTCTCCTCTACGTTACATATACAGTCGTTGCCCTTCACAATCTCTATAAATTGGTCTTCAATCATCTTAAGGTACGCCGTCCCTCGTTTTTACAATTTCAGTTTTTTAACCATAACTTCAGATTTTGAACATAAACCACTCTGGAGATTTTCCTAAACGATGCGCCAATGTCTCCTCTACAACACCTATATAGTCGTTGTCCGTCACAATCTCTTTAAAATGGTCCAAATTGGTCTTTTAGCGCCCTATCCCCCTAATCTCATTTTGTCAATTTCACAATAAAATTTTCAGTTTTTTAACCGTAACTTCAGATTTTCAAACATAAACCACTCTGGAGATTTTCTTAAACGATGCGCCATTGTCTCCTCTACAACACCTATATAGTCGTTGCCCGTCACAATCTCTTGAAATTGGTCCAAAATTAACTTAAATAGCCCTATCCCCCTAATCTCATTTTGTCAATTTCACAATTTCAGTTTTTTAACCGTAACTTCAGATTTTCGAACATAAACCACTCTGGAGATTTTCTTAAACGATGCGCCAATGTCTCCTCTACAACACCTATATAGTCGTTGCCCGTCACAATCTCTTGAAAATGGTCCAAATTTTTCTTTTAGTGCCCTATCCCCCTAATCTCATTTTGTCAATTTCACAATAAAATTTTCAGTTTTTTAACCGTAACTTCAGATTTTCAAACATAAATCACTCTGGAGATTTTCTTAAACGATGCGCCAATGTCTCCTCTACAACACCTATATAGTCGTTGCCCGTCACAATCTCTTTAAAATGGTCCAAATTTTTCTTTTAGTGCCCTATCCCCCTAATCTCATTTTGTCAATTTCACAATAAAATTTTCAGTTTTTTAACCGTAACTTCAGATTTTCGAACATAAACCACTCTGGAGATTTTCTTAAACGATGCGCCATTGTCTCCTCTACAAGACCTATATAGTCGTTGCCCGTCACAATCTCTTGAAATTGGTCCAAAGTTAACTTAAATAAGCCTACCCCCCTAATCTCATTTTGTCAATTTCACAATAAAATTTTCAGTTTTTTAACCGTAACTTCAGATTTTCGAACATAAACCACTCTGGAGATTTTCTTAAACGATGCGCCAATGTCTCCTCTACAACACCTATATAGTCGTTGCCCGTCACAATCTCTTTAAAATGGTCTAAATTTTTCTTTTAGTGCCCTATCCCCCTAATCTCATTTTGTCAATTTCACAATAAAATTTTCAGTTTTTTAACCGTAACTTCAGATTTTCGAACATAAACCACTCTGGAGATTTTCTTAAACGATGCGCCATTGTCTCCTCTACAACACCTATATAGTCGTTGCCCGTCACAATCTCTTTAAAATGGTCCAAATTTTTCTTTTAGTGCCCTACCCCCTAATCTCATTTTGTCAATTTCACAATAAAATTTTCAGTTTTTTAACCGTAACTTCAGATTTTCGAACATAAACCACTCTGGAGATTTTCTTAAACGATGCGCCAATGTCTCCTCTACAACACCTATATAGTCGTTGCCCGTCACAATCTCTTTAAAATGGTCCAAATTTTTCTTTTAGTGCCCTATCCCCCTAATCTCATTTTGTCAATTTCACAATAAAATTTTCAGTTTTTTAACCGTAACTTCGGATTTTCGAACATAAACCACTGTGGAGATTTTCTTAAACGATGCGCCAATGTCTCCTCTACAACACCTATATAGTCGTTGCCCGTCACAATCTCTTTAAAATGGTCCAAATATTTCTTTTAGTGCCCTACCCCCCTAATCTCATTTTTTCAATTTCACAATAAAATTTTCAGTTTTTTAACCTTAACTTCAGATTTTCGAACATAAACCACTCTGGAGATTTTCTTAAACGATGCGCCAATGTCTCCTCTACAACACCTATATAGTCGTTGCCCGTCACAATCTCTTTAAAATGGTCCAAATTTTTCTTTTAGTGCCCTACCCCCCTAATCTCATTTTGTCAATTTCACAATAAATTTTCAGTTTTTTAACCGTAACTTCAGATTTTCGAACATAAACCACCCTGGAGATTTTCTTAAACGATGTGCCAATGTCTCCTCTACAACACCTATATAGTTGTTGCCCGTCACAATCTCTTTAAAATGGTCCAAATGTTTCTTTTAGTGCCCTATCCCCCTAATCTCATTTTGTCAATTTCAGTTTTTTAACCGTAACTTCAGATTTTCGAACATAAACCACTCTGGAGATTTTCTTAAACGATGCGCCAATGTCTCCTCTACAACACCTATATAGTCATTGCCCGTCACAATCTCTTTAAAATGGTCCAAATTTTTCTTTTAGTGCCCTATCCCCCTAATCTCATTTTGTCAATTTCACAATAAAATTTTCAGTTTTTTAACCGTAACTTCAGATTTTCGAACATAAACCACTCTGGAGATTTTCTTAAACGATGCGCCAATGTCTCCTCTACAACACCTATATAGTCGTTGCCCGTCACAATCTCTTTAAAATGGTCCAAATTTTTCTTTTAGTGCCCTACCCCCCTAATCTCATTTTGTCAATTTCACAATAAAATTTTCAGTTTTTTAACCGTAACTTCAGATTTTCGAACATAAACCACTCTGGAGATTTTCTTAAACGATGCGCCATTGTCTCCTCTACAACACCTATATAGTCGTTGCCCGTCACAATCTCTCGAAATTGGTCCAAAGTTAACTTAAATAGGCCTACCCCCCTAATCTCATTTTGTCAATTTCACAATTTCAGTTTTTCAACCGTAACTTCAGATTTTCGAACATAAACCACTCTGGAGATTTTCTTAAACGATGCGCCATTGTCTCCTCTACAACACCTATATAGTCGTTGCCCGTCACAATCTCTTGAAATTGGTCCAAAGTTAACTTAAATAGGCCTACCCCCCTAATCTCATTTTGTCAATTTTACAATTTCAGTTTTTTAACCGTAACTTCAGATTTTCGAACATAAACCACCCTGGAGATTTTCATAAACGATGCGCCAATGTCTCCTCTACAACACCTATATAGTCGTTGCCCGTCACAATCTCTTTAAAATAGTCCAAATTTTTCTTTTAGTGCCCTACCCCCCTAATCTCATTTTGTCAATTTCACAATAAATTTTCAGTTTTTTAACCGTAACTTCAGATTTTCGAACATAAACCACTCTGGAGATTTTCTTAAACGATGCGCCATTGTCTCCTCTACAACACCTATATAGTCGTTGCCCGTCACAATCTCTTGAAATTGGTCCAAAGTTAACTTAAATAGGCCTACCCCCCTAATCTCATTTTGTCAATTTCACAATTTCAGTTTTTTAACCGTAACTTCAGATTTTCAAACATAAACCACCCTGGAGATTTTCATAAACGATGCGCCAATGTCTCCTCTACAACACCTATATAGTCGTTGCCCGTCACAATCTCTTTAAAATGGTCCAAATTTTTCTTTTAGTGCCCTATCCCCCTAATCTCATTTTGTCAATTTCACAATAAAATTTTCAGTTTTTTAACCGTAACTTCAGATTTTCGAACATAAACCACTCTGGAGATTTTCTTAAACGATGCTCCAATGTCTCCTCTACAACACCTATATAGTCATTGCCCGTCACAATCTCTTTAAAATGGTCCAAATTTTTCTTTTAGTGCCCTATCCCCCTAATCTCATTTTGTCAATTTCACAATAAAATTTTCAGTTTTTTAACCGTAACTTCAGATTTTCGAACATAAACCACTCTGGAGATTTTCTTAAACGATGCGCCAATGTCTCTTCTACAACACCTATATAGTCGTTGCCCGTCACAATCTCTTTAAAATGGTCCAAATTTTTCTTTTAGTGCCCTACCCCCCTAATCTCATTTTGTCAATTTCACAATAAAATTTTCAGTTTTTTAACCGTAACTTCAGATTTTCGAACATAAACCACTCTGGAGATTTTCTTAAACGATGCGCCAATGTCTCCTCTACAACACCTATATAGTCGTTGCCCGTCAGAATCTCTTTAAAATGGTCCAAATTTTTCTTTTAGTGCCCTATCCCCCTAATCTCATTTTGTCAATTTCACAATAAAATTTTCAGTTTTTTAACCGTAACTTCAGATTTTCGAACATAAACCACTCTGGAGATTTTCTTAAACGATGCGCCAATGTCTCCTCTACAACACCTATATAGTCGTTGCCCGTCACAATCTCTTTAAAATGGTCCAAATTTTTCTTTTAGTGCCCTATCCCCCTAATCTCATTTTGTCAATTTCACAATAAAATTTTGAGTTTTTTAACCGTAACTTCAGATTTTCGAACATAAACCACTCTGGAGATTTTCTTAAACGATGCGCCATTGTCTCCTCTACAAGACCTATATAGTCGTTGCCCGTCACAATCTCTTGAAATTGGTCCAAAGTTAACTTAAATAAGCCTACCCCCCTAATCTCATTTTGTCAATTTCACAATTTCAGTTTTTTAACCGTAACTTCAGATTTTCGAACATAAACCACTCAGTAGATTTTCTTAAACGATGCGCCATTGTCTCCTCTACAACACCTATATAGTCGTTGCCCGTCACAATCTCTTGAAATTGGTCCAAAGTTAACTTAAATAGGCCTACCCCCCTAATCTCATTTTGTCAATTTCACAATTTCAGTTTTTTAACCGTAACTTCAGATTTTCGAACATAAACCACCCTGGAGATTTTTATAAACGATGCGCCAATGTCTCCTCTACAACACCTATATAGTCGTTGCCCGTCACAATCTCTTTAAAATAGTCCAAATTTTTCTTTTAGTGCCCTATCCCCCTAATCTCATTTTGTCAATTTCACAATAAAATTTTCAGTTTTTTAACCGTAACTTCAGATTTTCGAACATAAACCACTCTGGAGATTTTCTTAAACGATGCGCCAATGTCTCCTCTACAACACCTATATAGTCGTTGCCCGTCAGAATCTCTTTAAAATGGTCCAAATTTTTCTTTTAGTGCCCTATCCCCCTAATCTCATTTTGTCAATTTCACAATAAAATTTTCAGTTTTTCAACCGTAACTTCAGATTTTCGAACATAAACCACTCTGGAGATTTTCTTAAACGATGCGCCAATGTCTCCTCTACAACACCTATATAGTCGTTGCCCGTCACAATCTCTTTAAAATGGTCCAAATTTTTCTTTTAGTGCCCTATCCCCCTAATCTCATTTTGTCAATTTCACAATAAAATTTTCAGTTTTTTAACCGTAACTTCAGATTTTCGAACATAAACCACTCTGGAGATTTTCTTAAACGATGCGCCATTGTCTCCTCTACAACACCTATATAGTCGTTGCCCGTCACAATCTCTTGAAATTGGTCCAAAGTTAACTTAAATAGGCCTACCCCCCTAATCTCATTTTGTCAATTTCACAATTTCAGTTTTTTAACCGTAACTTCAGATTTTCGAACATAAACCACTCTGGAGATTTTCTTAAATGATGCGCCATTGTCTCCCCTACAACACCTATATAGTCGTTGCCCGTCACAATCTCTTGAAATTGGTCCAAAGTTAACTTAAATAGGCCTACCCCCCTAATCTCATTTTGTCAATTTCACAATTTCAGTTTTTTAACCGTAACTTCAGATTTTCAAACATAAACCACCCTGGAGATTTTCATAAACGATGCGCCAATGTCTCCTCTACAACACCAATATAGTCGTTGCCCGTCACAATCTCTTTAAAATGGTCCAAATTTTTCTTTTAGTGCCCTATCCCCCTAATCTCATTTTGTCAATTTCACAATAAAATTTTCAGTTTTTTAACCGTAACTTCAGATTTTCGAACATAAACCACTCTGGAGATTTTCTTAAACGATGCGCCAATGTCTCCTCTACAACACCTATATAGTCATTGCCCGTCACAATCTCTTTAAAATGGTCCAAATTTTTCTTTTAGTGCCCTATCCCCCTAATCTCATTTTGTCAATTTCACAATAAAATTTTCAGTTTTTTAACCGTAACTTCAGATTTTCGAACATAAACCACTCTGGAGATTTTCTTAAACGATGCGCCAATGTCTCTTCTACAACACCTATATAGTCGTTGCCCGTCACAATCTCTTTAAAATGGTCCAAATTTTTCTTTTAGTGCCCTACCCCCCTAATCTCATTTTGTCAATTTCACAATAAAATTTTCAGTTTTTTAACCGTAACTTCAGATTTTTGAGCATAAACCACTCTGGAGATTTTCTTAAACGATGCGCCAATGTCTCCTCTACAACACCTATATAGTCGTTGCCCGTCACAATCTCTTTAAAATGGTCCAAATTTTTCTTTTAGTGCCCTATCCCCCTAATCTCATTTTGTCAATTTCACAATAAAATTTTCAGTTTTTTAACCGTAACTTCAGATTTTCGAACATAAACCACTCTGGAGATTTTCTTAAACGATGCGCCAATGTCTCCTCTACAACACCTATATAGTCGTTGCCCGTCACAATCTCTTTAAAATGGTCCAAATTTTTCTTTTAGTGCCCTATCCCCCTAATCTCATTTTGTCAATTTCACAATAAAATTTTCAGTTTTTTAACCGTAACTTCAGATTTTCGAACATAAACCACTCTGGAGATTTTCTTAAACGATGCGCCATTGTCTCCTCTACAAGACCTATATAGTCGTTGCCCGTCACAATCTCTTGAAATTGGTCCAAAGTTAACTTAAATACGCCTACCCCCCTAATCTCATTTTGTCAATTTCACAATTTCAGTTTTTTAACCGTAACTTCAGATTTTCGAACATAAACCACTCAGTAGATTTTCTTAAACGATGCGCCATTGTCTCCTCTACAACACCTATATAGTCGTTGCCCGTCACAATCTCTTTAAAATAGTCCAAATTTTTCTTTTAGTGCCCTACCCCCCTAATCTCATTTTGTCAATTTCACAATTTCAGTTTTTTAACCGTAACTTCAGATTTTCGAACATAAACCACTCAGTAGATTTTCTTAAACGATGCGCCATTGTCTCCTCTACAACACCTATATAGTCGTTGCCCGTCACAATCTCTTTAAAATGGTCCAAATTTTTCTTTTAGTGCCCTATCCCCCTAATCTCATTTTGTCAATTTCACAATAAATTTTCAGTTTTTTAACCGTAACTTCAGATTTTCGAACATAAACCACTCTGGAGATTTTCTTAAACGATGCGCCATTGTCTCCTCTACAACACCTATATAGTCGTTGCCCGTCACAATCTCTTGAAATTGGTCCAAAGTTAACTTAAATAGGCCTACCCCCCTAATCTCATTTTGTCAATTTCACAATTTCAGTTTTTTAACCGTAACTTCAGATTTTCGAACATAAACCACCCTGGAGATTTTCATAAACGATGCGCCAATGTCTCCTCTACAACACCTATATAGTCGTTGCCCGTCACAATCTCTTTAAAATGGTCCAAATTTTTCTTTTAGTGCCCTATCCCCCTAATCTCATTTTGTCAATTTCACAATAAAATTTTCAGTTTTTTAACCGTAACTTCAGATTTTCGAACATAAACCACTCTGGAGATTTTCTTAAACGATGCGCCAATGTCTCCTCTACAACACCTATATAGTCGTTGCCCGTCACAATCTCTTGAAATTGGTCCAAAACTAACTTAAATTGGCCTACCCCCCTAATCTCATTTTGTCAATTTCACAATTTCAGTTTTTTAACCGTAACTTCAGATTTTCGAACATAAACCACTCTGGAGATTTTCTTAAACGATGTGCCAATGTCTCCTCTACAACACCTATATAGTTGTTGCCCGTCACAATCTCTTTAAAATGGTCCAAATGTTTCTTTTAGTGCCCTATCCCCCTAATCTCATTTTGTCAATTTCAGTTTTTTAACCGTAACTTCAGATTTTCGAACATAAACCAGTGTGGAGATTTTCTTAAACGATGTGCCAATGTCTCCTCTACAACACCTATATAGTTGTTGCCCGTCACAATCTCTTTAAAATGGTCCAAATGTTTCTTTTAGTGCCCTATCCCCCTAATCTCATTTTGTCAATTTCACAATAAAATTTTCAGTTTTTTAACCGTAACTTCAGATTTTCGAACATAAACCACTCTGGAGATTTTCTTAAACGATGCGCCAATGTCTCCTCTACAACACCTATATAGTCATTGCCCGTCACAATCTCTTTAAAATGGTCCAAATTTTTCTTTTAGTGCCCTATCCCCCTAATCTCATTTTGTCAATTTCACAATAAAATTTTCAGTTTTTTAACCGTAACTTCAGATTTTCGAACATAAACCACTCTGGAGATTTTCTTAAACGATGCGCCAATGTCTCCTCTACAACACCTATATAGTCGTTGCCCGTCACAATCTCTTTAAAATAGTCCAAATTTTTCTTTTAGTGCCCTATCCCCCTAATCTCATTTTGTCAATTTCACAATAAAATTTTCAGTTTTTTAACCGTTACTTCAGATTTTCGAACATAAACCACTCTGGAGATTTTCTTAAACGATGCGCCATTGTCTCCTCTACAATACCTATATAGTCGTTGCCCGTCACAATCTCTTGAAATTGGTCCAAAGTTAACTTAAATAGACCTACCCCCCTAATCTCATTTTGTCAATTTCACAATTTCAGTTTTTTAACCGTAACTTCAGATTTTCGAACATAAACCACTCTGGAGATTTTCTTAAACGATGCGCCATTGTCTCCTCTACAAGACCTATATAGTCGTTGCCCGTCACAATCTCTTGAAATTGGTCCAAAGTTAACTTAAATAAGCCTACCCCCCTAATCTCATTTTGTCAATTTCACAATTTCAGTTTTTTAACCGTAACTTCAGATTTTCGAACATAAACCACTCAGTAGATTTTCTTAAACGATGCGCCATTGTCTCCTCTACAACACCTATATAGTCGTTGCCCGTCACAATCTCTTTAAAATAGTCCAAATTTTTCTTTTAGTGCCCTACCCCCCTAATCTCATTTTGTCAATTTCACAATTTCAGTTTTTTAACCGTAACTTCAGATTTTCGAACATAAACCACTCAGTAGATTTTCTTAAACGATGCGCCATTGTCTCCTCTACAACACCTATATAGTCGTTGCCCGTCACAATCTCTTTAAAATGGTCCAAATTTTTCTTTTAGTGCCCTATCCCCCTAATCTCATTTTGTCAATTTCACAATAAATTTTCAGTTTTTTAACCGTAACTTCAGATTTTCGAACATAAACCACTCTGGAGATTTTCTTAAACGATGCGCCATTGTCTCCTCTACAACACCTATATAGTCGTTGCCCGTCACAATCTCTTGAAATTGGTCCAAAGTTAACTTAAATAGGCCTACCCCCCTAATCTCATTTTGTCAATTTCACAATTTCAGTTTTTTAACCGTAACTTCAGATTTTCGAACATAAACCACCCTGGAGATTTTCATAAACGATGCGCCAATGTCTCCTCTACAACACCTATATAGTCGTTGCCCGTCACAATCTCTTTAAAATGGTCCAAATTTTTCTTTTAGTGCCCTATCCCCCTAATCTCATTTTGTCAATTTCACAATAAAATTTTCAGTTTTTTAACCGTAACTTCAGATTTTCGAACATAAACCACTCTGGAGATTTTCTTAAACGATGCGCCAATGTCTCCTCTACAACACCTATATAGTCATTGCCCGTCACAATCTCTTTAAAATGGTCCAAATTTTTCTTTTAGTGCCCTATCCCCCTAATCTCATTTTGTCAATTTCACAATAAAATTTTCAGTTTTTTAACCGTAACTTCAGATTTTCGAACATAAACCACTCTGGAGATTTTCTTAAACGATGCGCCAATGTCTCTTCTACAACACCTATATAGTCGTTGCCCGTCACAATCTCTTTAAAATGGTCCAAATTTTTCTTTTAGTGCCCTACCCCCCTAATCTCATTTTGTCAATTTCACAATAAAATTTTCAGTTTTTTAACCGTAACTTCAGATTTTTGAGCATAAACCACTCTGGAGATTTTCTTAAACGATGTGTCAATGTCTCCTCTACAACACCTATATAGTCGTTGCCCGTCAGAATCTCTTTAAAATGGTCCAAATTTTTCTTTTAGTGCCCTATCCCCCTAATCTCATTTTGTCAATTTCACAATAAAATTTTCAGTTTTTTAACCGTAACTTCAGATTTTCGAACATAAACCACTCTGGAGATTTTCTTAAACGATGCGCCAATGTCTCCTCTACAACACCTATATAGTCGTTGCCCGTCACAATCTCTTTAAAATGGTCCAAATTTTTCTTTTAGTGCCCTATCCCCCTAATCTCATTTTGTCAATTTCACAATAAATTTTCAGTTTTTTAACCGTAACTTCAGATTTTCGAACATAAACCACTCTGGAGATTTTCTTAAACGATGCGCCAATGTCTCCTCTACAACACCTATATAGTCATTGCCCGTCACAATCTCTTTAAAATGGTCCAAATTTTTCTTTTAGTGCCCTATCCCCCTAATCTCATTTTGTCAATTTCACAATAAAATTTTCAGTTTTTTAACCGTAACTTCAGATTTTCGAACATAAACCACTCTGGAGATTTTCTTAAACGATGCGCCAATGTCTCTTCTACAACACCTATATAGTCGTTGCCCGTCACAATCTCTTTAAAATGGTCCAAATTTTTCTTTTAGTGCCCTACCCCCCTAATCTCATTTTATCAATTTCACAATAAAATTTTCAGTTTTTTAACCGTAACTTCAGATTTTTGAGCATAAACCACTCTGGAGATTTTCTTAAACGATGCGCCAATGTCTCCTCTACAACACCTATATAGTCGTTGCCCGTCAGAATCTCTTTAAAATGGTCCAAATTTTTCTTTTAGTGCCCTATCCCCCTAATCTCATTTTGTCAATTTCACAATAAAATTTTCAGTTTTTTAACCGTAACTTCAGATTTTCGAACATAAACCACTCTGGAGATTTTCTTAAACGATGCGCCAATGTCTCCTCTACAACACCTATATAGTCGTTGCCCGTCACAATCTCTTTAAAATGGTCCAAATTTTTCTTTTAGTGCCCTATCCCCCTAATCTCATTTTGTCAATTTCACAATAAAATTTTCAGTTTTTTAACCGTAACTTCAGATTTTCGAACATAAACCACTCTGGAGATTTTCTTAAACGATGCGCCATTGTCTCCTCTACAAGACCTATATAGTCGTTGCCCGTCACAATCTCTTGAAATTGGTCCAAAGTTAACTTAAATAAGCCTACCCCCCTAATCTCATTTTGTCAATTTCACAATTTCAGTTTTTTAACCGTAACTTCAGATTTTCGAACATAAACCACTCAGTAGATTTTCTTAAACGATGCGCCATTGTCTCCTCTACAACACCTATATAGTCGTTGCCCGTTACAATCTCTTGAAATTGGTCCAAAGTTAACTTAAATAGGCCTACCCCCCTAATCTCATTTTGTCAATTTCACAATTTCAGTTTTTTAACCGTAACTTCAGATTTTCGAACATAAACCACCCTGGATATTTTCATAAACGATGCGCCAATGTCTCCTCTACAACACCTATATAGTCGTTGCCCGTCACAATCTCTTTAAAATAGTCCAAATTTTTCTTTTAGTGCCCTATCCCCCTAATCTCATTTTGTCAATTTCACAATAAAATTTTCAGTTTTTTAACCGTAACTTCAGATTTTCGAACATAAACCACTCTGGAGATTTTCTTAAACGATGCGCCAATGTCTCCTCTACAACACCTATATAGTCGTTGCCCGTCAGAATCTCTTTAAAATGGTCCAAATTTTTCTTTTAGTGCCCTATCCCCCTAATCTCATTTTGTCAATTTCACAATAAAATTTTCAGTTTTTTAACCGTAACTTCAGATTTTCGAACATAAACCACTCTGGAGATTTTCTTAAACAATGCGCCAATGTCTCCTCTACAACACCTATATAGTCGTTGCCCGTCACAATCTCTTTAAAATAGTCCAAATTTTTCTTTTAGTGCCCTATCCCCCTAATCTCATTTTGTCAATTTCACAATAAAATTTTCAGTTTTTTAACCGTAACTTCAGATTTTCGAACATAAACCACTCTGGAGATTTTCTTAAACGATGCGCCATTGTCTCCTCTACAATACCTATATAGTCGTTGCCCGTCACAATCTCTTGAAATTGGTCCAAAGTTAACTTAAATAGGCCTACCCCCCTAATCTCATTTTGTCAATTTCACAATTTCAGTTTTTTAACCGTAACTTCAGATTTTCGAACATAAACCACTCTGGAGATTTTCTTAAACGATGCGCCATTGTCTCCTCTACAACACCTATATAGTCGTTGCCCGTCACAATCTCTTGAAATTGGTCCAAAGTTAACTTAAATAGGCCTACCCCCCTAATCTCATTTTGTCAATTTCACAATTTCAGTTTTTTAACCGTAACTTCAGATTTTCGAACATAAACCACCCTGGAGATTTTCATAAACGATGCGCCAATGTCTCCTCTACAACACCTATATAGTCGTTGCCCGTCACAATCTCTTTAAAATAGTCCAAATTTTTCTTTTAGTGCCCTATCCCCCTAATCTCATTTTGTCAATTTCACAATAAAATTTTCAGTTTTTTAACCGTAACTTCAGATTTTCGAACATAAACCACTCTGGAGATTTTCTTAAACGATGCGCCAATGTCTCCTCTACAACACCTATATAGTCGTTGCCCGTCACAATCTCTTTAAAATGGTCCAAATTTTTCTTTTAGTGCCCTACCCCCCTAATCTCATTTTGTCAATTTCACAATAAATTTTCAGTTTTTTAACCGTAACTTCAAATTTTCGAACATAAACCACTCTGGAGATTTTCTTAAACGATGCGCCATTGTCTCCTCTACAACACCTATATAGTCGTTGCCCGTCACAATCTCTTTAAAATGGTCCAAATTTTTCTTTTAGTGCCCTACCCCCCTAATCTCATTTTGTCAATTTCACAATAAATTTTCAGTTTTTTAACCGTAACTTCAGATTTTCGAACATAAACCACCCTGGAGATTTTCATAAACGATGCGCCAATGTCTCCTCTACAACACCTATATAGTCGTTGCCCGTCACAATCTCTTTAAAATGGTCCGAATTTTTCTTTTAGTGCCCTATCCCCCTAATCTCATTTTGTCAATTTCACAATAAAATTTTCAGTTTTTTAACCGTAACTTCAGATTTTCGAACATAAACCACTCTGGAGATTTTCTTAAACGATGCGCCATTGTCTCCTCTACAACACCTATATAGTCGTTGCCCGTCACAATCTCTTGAAATTGGTCCAAAGTTAACTTAAATACGCCTACCCCCCTAATCTCATTTTGTCAATTTCACAATTTCAGTTTTTTAACCGTAACTTCAGATTTTGGAACATAAACCACTCAGTAGATTTTCTTAAACGATGCGCCATTGTCTCCTCTACAACACCTATATAGTCGTTGCCCGTCACAATCTCTTTAAAATAGTCCAAATTTTTCTTTTAGTGCCCTACCCCCCTAATCTCATTTTGTCAATTTCACAATTTCAGTTTTTTAACCGTAACTTCAGATTTTCGAACATAAACCACTCTGGAGATTTTCTTAAACGATGTGCCAATGTCTCCTCTACAACACCTATATAGTTGTTGCCCGTCACAATCTCTTTAAAATGGTCCAAATGTTTCTTTTAGTGCCCTATCCCCCTAATCTCATTTTGTCAATTTCAGTTTTTTAACCGTAACTTCAGATTTTCGAACATAAACCAGTGTGGAGATTTTCTTAAACGATGTGCCAATGTCTCCTCTACAACACCTATATAGTTGTTGCCCGTCACAATCTCTTTAAAATGGTCCAAATGTTTCTTTTAGTGCCCTATCCCCCTAATCTCATTTTGTCAATTTCACAATAAAATTTTCAGTTTTTTAACCGTAACTTCAGATTTTCGAACATAAACCACTCTGGAGATTTTCTTAAACGATGCGCCAATGTCTCCTCTACAACACCTATATAGTCATTGCCCGTCACAATCTCTTGAAATTGGTCCAAATTTTTCTTTTAGTGCCCTATCCCCCTAATCTCATTTTGTCAATTTCACAATAAAATTTTCAGTTGTTTAACCGTAACTTCAGATTTTCGAACATAAACCACTCTGGAGATTTTCTTAAACGATGCGCCAATGTCTCCTCTACAACACCTATATAGTCGTTGCCCGTCACAATCTCTTTAAAATAGTCCAAATTTTTCTTTTAGTGCCCTATCCCCCTAATCTCATTTTGTCAATTTCACAATAAAATTTTCAGTTTTTTAACCGTAACTTCAGATTTTCGAACATAAACCACTCTGGAGATTTTCTTAAACGATGCGCCATTGTCTCCTCTACAATACCTATATAGTCGTTGCCCGTCACAATCTCTTGAAATTGGTCCAAAGTTAACTTAAATAGGCCTACCCCCCTAATCTCATTTTGTCAATTTCACAATTTCAGTTTTTTAACCGTAACTTCAGATTTTCGAACATAAACCACTCTGGAGATTTTCTTAAACGATGCGCCATTGTCTCCTCTACAAGACCTATATAGTCGTTGCCCGTCACAATCTCTTGAAATTGGTCCAAAGTTAACTTAAATAAGCCTACCCCCTAATCTCATTTTGTCAATTTCACAATTTCAGTTTTTTAACCGTAACTTCAGATTTTCGAACATAAACCACTCAGTAGATTTTCTTAAACGATGCGTCATTGTCTCCTCTACAACACCTATATAGTCGTTGCCCGTCACAATCTCTTTAAAATAGTCCAAATTTTTCTTTTAGTGCCCTACCCCCCTAATCTCATTTTGTCAATTTCACAATTTCAGTTTTTTAACCGTAACTTCAGATTTTCGAACATAAACCACTCAGTAGATTTTCTTAAACGATGCGCCATTGTCTCCTCTACAACACCTTTATAGTCGTTGCCCGTCACAATCTCTTTAAAATGGTCCAAATTTTTCTTTTAGTGCCCTATCCCCCTAATCTCATTTTGTCAATTTCACAATAAATTTTCAGTTTTTTAACCGTAACTTCAGATTTTCGAACATAAACCACTCTGGAGATTTTCTTAAACGATGCGCCATTGTCTCCTCTACAACACCTATATAGTCGTTGCCCGTCACAATCTCTTGAAATTGGTCCAAAGTTAACTTAAATAGGCCAACCCCCCTAATCTCATTTTGTCAATTTCACAATTTCAGTTTTTTAACCGTAACTTCAGATTTTCGAACATAAACCACCCTGGAGATTTTCATAAACGATGCGCCAATGTCTCCTCTACAACACCTATATAGTCGTTGCCCGTCACAATCTCTTTAAAATGGTCCAAATTTTTCTTTTAGTGCCCTATCCCCCTAATCTCATTTTGTCAATTTCACAATAAAATTTTCAGTTTTTTAACCGTAACTTCAGATTTTCGAACATAAACCACTCTGGAGATTTTCTTAAACGATGCGCCAATGTCTCCTCTACAACACCTATATAGTCATTGCCCGTCACAATCTCTTTAAAATGGTCCAAATTTTTCTTTTAGTGCCCTATCCCCCTAATCTCATTTTGTCAATTTCACAATAAAATTTTCAGTTTTTTAACCGTAACTTCAGATTTTCGAACATAAACCACTCTGGAGATTTTCTTAAACGATGCGCCAATGTCTCTTCTACAACACCTATATAGTCGTTGCCCGTCACAATCTCTTTAAAATGGTCCAAATTTTTCTTTTAGTGCCCTACCCCCCTAATCTCATTTTGTCAATTTCACAATAAAATTTTCAGTTTTTTAACCGTAACTTCAGATTTTTGAGCATAAACCACTCTGGAGATTTTCTTAAACGATGCGCCAATGTCTCCTCTACAACACCTATATAGTCGTTGCCCGTCAGAATCTCTTTAAAATGGTCCAAATTTTTCTTTTAGTGCCCTATCCCCCTAATCTCATTTTGTCAATTTCACAATAAAATTTTCAGTTTTTTAACCGTAACTTCAGATTTTCGAACATAAACCACTCTGGAGATTTTCTTAAACGATGCGCCAATGTCTCCTCTACAACACCTATATAGTCGTTGCCCGTCACAATCTCTTTAAAATGGTCCAAATTTTTCTTTTAGTGCCCTATCCCCCTAATCTCATTTTGTCAATTTCACAATAAATTTTCAGTTTTTTAACCGTAACTTCAGATTTTCGAACATAAACCACTCTGGAGATTTTCTTAAACGATGCGCCAATGTCTCCTCTACAACACCTATATAGTCATTGCCCGTCACAATCTCTTTAAAATGGTCCAAATTTTTCTTTTAGTGCCCTATCCCCCTAATCTCATTTTGTCAATTTCACAATAAAATTTTCAGTTTTTTAACCGTAACTTCAGATTTTCGAACATAAACCACTCTGGAGATTTTCTTAAACGATGCGCCAATGTCTCTTCTACAACACCTATATAGTCGTTGCCCGTCACAATCTCTTTAAAATGGTCCAAATTTTTCTTTTAGTGCCCTACCCCCCTAATCTCATTTTATCAATTTCACAATAAAATTTTCAGTTTTTTAACCGTAACTTCAGATTTTTGAGCATAAACCACTCTGGAGATTTTCTTAAACGATGCGCCAATGTCTCCTCTACAACACCTATATAGTCGTTGCCCGTCAGAATCTCTTTAAAATGGTCCAAATTTTTCTTTTAGTGCCCTATCCCCCTAATCTCATTTTGTCAATTTCACAATAAAATTTTCAGTTTTTTAACCGTAACTTCAGATTTTCGAACATAAACCATTCTGGAGATTTTCTTAAACGATGCGCCAATGTCTCCTCTACTACACCTATATAGTCGTTGCCCGTCACAATCTCTTTAAAATGGTCCAAATTTTTCTTTTAGTGCCCTATCCCCCTAATCTCATTTTGTCAATTTCACAATAAAATTTTCAGTTGTTTAACCGTAACTTCAGATTTTCGAACATAAACCACTCTGGAGATTTTCTTAAACGATGCGCCATTGTCTCCTCTACAACACCTATATAGTCGTTGCCCCTCAGAATGTTTTGAAATTGGACCAAAATTAACTTAAATTGCCCTACCCCCCTAATCTCATTTTGTCAATTTCACAATTTCAGTTTTTTAACCGTAACTTCAGATTTTCGAACATAAACCACTCTGGAGATTTTCTTAAACGATGCGCCAATGTCTCCTCTACAACACCTTTATAGTCGTTGCCCGTCACAATCTCTTTAAAATGGTCCAAATTTTTCTTTTAGTGCCCTATCCCCCTAATCTCATTTTGTCAATTTCACAATAAAATTTTCAGTTTTTTAACCGTAACTTCAGATTTTCGAACATAAACCACTCTGGAGATTTTCTTAAACGATGCGCCAATGTCTCCTCTACAACACCTATATAGTCGTTGCCCGTCACAATCTCTTGAAATTGGTCCAAAACTAACTTAAATTGGCCTACCCCCCTAATCTCATTTTGTCAATTTCACAATTTCAGTTTTTTAACCGTAACTTCAGATTTTCGAACATAAACCACTCTGGAGATTTTCTTAAACGATGTGCCAATGTCTCCTCTACAACACCTATATAGTTGTTGCCCGTCACAATCTCTTTAAAATGGTCCAAATGTTTCTTTTAGTGCCCTATCCCCCTAATCTCATTTTGTCAATTTCAGTTTTTTAACCGTAACTTCAGATTTTCGAACATAAACCAGTGTGGAGATTTTCTTAAACGATGCGCCATTGTCTCCTCTACAACACCTATATAGTCGTTGCCCGTCACAATCTCTTTAAAATGGTCCAAATTTTTCTTTTAGTGCCCTATCCCCCTAATCTCATTTTGTCAATTTCACAATAAAATTTTCAGTTTTTTAACCGTAACGTCAGATTTTCGAACATAAACCACTCTGGAGATTTTCTTAAACGATGCGCCATTGTCTCCTCTACAACACCTATATAGTCGTTGCCCGTCACAATCTCTTGAAATTGGTCCAAAATTAACTTTAATTGCCCTACCCCCCTAATCTCATTTTGTCAATTTCACAATAAAAGTTTCAGTTTTTTAACCGTAACTTCAGATTCTCGAACATAAACCACTCTGGAGATTTTCCTAAACGATGGGGCACTATCTCCTCTTAATCACCTATATAGTCGTATTCTGTCACAATCTCTATTAATCGGACCAAACAACGTAAAGTGCACCCCCATTCCCTAAAAAAGCATTGTGTCAATGTGTTAACTTATGGTCATTGTAATCCAGCTGTCTATTGAATGCCTTATGTGGATTTATTTAGTTAGGAAAGAAAAGCTTTGTATTCTTTATATGTGAAGTATGGTTTCCCTTTTGTTTTTGTTTAAGATTGTATGTATTCTCATAATTGTTCGCTAGCTCGAAAAAACGTGATAACCTTATGTGATATTGTGGTTTTTAGTTATACCGCCTAATTGTTCGCTAGCTAATTGTTCGCTACAATTGTTCGCTAGCTTGAGTCAGGTGAACATTACAACAGTCAAATCGAAATATATTTTTAACACCATTCATATACAATTCAGTAAGACATCACAAGACTTTAGTGATTAATTGATGTAGGATCTGAAGCTGCCATTTTGTGTCATTTTGTCCCATATAAAATGCATAGGTGCTTCATAATCCGAATAAGTTAGTCGTTATATTTCACTCACTTCGATCACTAAATTAACAAGCATTACTGCCAAGTTTTGTTATAATCAGCTTAATAGTTTGAGAGAAATTAAATGTAAATTAAAACGAAATCTACAGCGATTTGTGCAAAATTTTGTCCAAAAATACAAATCACGCCGCATCATGGAAGAATATAGTGTAGAGCAATAAATTATCCAATAAATGATTAAATATTCATCTAATCTGCATACAAACAGTTGAATATTGATACAACAGATGATTCTGAGATGATGAACAACACTAATGTATTTTTTTCTTTCATTACAAGATAGCTTTGGGTCCATTTATACCTCTCACTCCCTCAAAATTTGTACCATACCCAAGAATGAAGGACACTAATGGCCGATTACCCTTATCAGCGACACCCGGGGTGCAATGTTTTTAATGATGTTCGATTAACATAGAAAGTAATGGGAAAATAAATAGGTACTCTTCATTAATTCTTCATATTATTTTTATTAATCATCTGAATTCTTATTAACACATACGACCGAATTCTACATAGATTTACCTTTCTGGTGGTATTAAAAAATCCTATTTATCTTATCTCATTGTTAGGTCTCCGATTTTTTGAAAATTCATTATCTAAATTCCCTTACTCACATCAGTAAATATCGATGAATGACCTCAAAAGAAACGAGACAGCAGTAACTAAAAAAATTGAAGCACACTTAATATGCGGAGGAAATACTATTAACACATACTGTTGAATACTCCTGTCAATAAGCTATATTTTGATTTCAGAAAAGTCAGTTTAAATTAAGAAATTCTTAGGTCTCCGGCGTTTTGAAAAGTTGTCTTTGAAAAAAATAACCAACACAAATGTAATATACGAAAACAACGTACATTACAAGATCATACTGTTATACATGTAAACTAAATTCCGGTTATTCTTAAATAAATGAAATAATACATAATAAGTTCAAATTCAAAGTGTTCACTGTGGCTATTTTTTATTGTTTAAATAGAAACGATAAATATTGAATACAAAATAAAATTATATTTAATTATATTAAATTGTATTCGTCGGGATAGCTCATCTGTTCAAGGACATAATAGTTTTACTATAAGGGTTCTTGTTCATGATAGTTCACAGTTCGTATAATTTCATATAATAGAGACTATAAAGATATTTTTTATTTATATTTGGTGAAACGTATTTAATGATAAATGATAAAGTATACATTTACATTTAAATAATAATAAATGATTCGCTGTTTAATAATTTTTTTTTCACCCGTAAAACATTTTTCCATCAATTGTATTTCGATAATATTTAAAGAAAATGAAAAGGTGGTATATTAAAAAAGTTCGAAATTAATATATTGTCAAATGAATTTTATCATCAGCAGGCACCCTGTCGCTTGATTGTCTTTCCTATCACCAATTACGATGTCTTATATATGCTCAACAGGATGCCACTGTTTGTTTTATTAAATTGAATCTGATACAATACAAACTTGTGTTAATTGGTGACATATGTACATGTAATGAATGTATGCACGGTTTGTTGTGGAAGTATCATCCTGTAATGACATTACATCAATGTGGTGGAACTATTAAAACAAATTTGATAACTCGAAAACTAATGCAAAAAATATTTCAAATCACTCTTTTTTAGGGAATCGTGTTCCTCGCTCTTTAGTTTGACCATGAAAGTAAATTGATTAGTGTTATCTATGTATAGATATAGTTTAATTTGCTGCTTTTATTTTTTTATTTCTTCTTTTAATTTCTATATATATGTTTTTTAAATTACTTAATGGTGCAATACAAAACACATGTAAGTTGTCTCTCGGGCATTTTAGAAATACACTATTCAAAATGTTCTTGTGTGAAAAAATGTAACGCTTACAACACATTGAATGTTGGTTTCTGTTACAATGATGAATGTGTTGTCATTGTAAATGGATATTAAAAAGCCGATTGCTGAAGACCTGGTGACAAGTTTTAATCTTATGCACTGCAAAAGAGGCCTTCTTCGTTGATATGTTGGGGTTTCCTTGTATTTCAAAACACCTTTGTTCTGGTGCATATGCCCACGACTCATGAAAACTAACTTATATTTATTAATTTAGTTTTGTCCGACGAATTTGTGTCCCTGATTTTTTTTAATTTAAATTTTCGATCTTTCTTGCTGTGTGGAAAAAAATCTCAAACAAGAAAAATGTTTCCCAAGTTTTTATAATCAGTTGTTCATGAACAATGTAAATTGCTTTTTTTCAAAGGCGATTTATTTATCAAAGACAAACTATGAATCGCATAAATGAGCTTTGATTTAGGGACGACATCAAAAGATCAATGTAGGATAAAAACTTAATTCAAATAGTCTGGGGGTGGGGGGTGGGGGTAAAAATTGCTGCAAGTTTTGTTTATTTGACATCGATTTTACATATATCTGTATTGATCAATCAATTTTTCCCAAATTAAGTTAAGAGGGGGTGGGGGGAGTCAGTGAAAAAACTACGTGAATTAAGTTTATTTATCCTACATTGAACTTTTGATGTCGTCCCTTATTATCCTGTGAATTTTTATCCGTGACTTAATTCAGGCAAATTTTATACCTTTCTTGCACTGTTGAAAATAAGGACAGAGGGACATCAGATATAAATACTGTTAGTATTAAATCGCACTGATAGCAGTTAAAAAATTTTAGATGGGTGAAAATAAGTTGAAATATGAAAGAAAACTTTCAAATAAGAATTACTCCTAAGCACACATAAAAAGGGAGACCCACTATAAAAGCGCTTGCGACCTAGCTCGCTTCATGATGATGTCTTTAGTTATTACAATTGATAAATCTTCACTTATCAATCAGAGAGAGAGCTCTACTTATCAATATCAATAAAAATATATTTTAACTGTTGAATGACTTATTCTTCAATTATTTAGTCTTAGAATTTATATCTTTAATTTTCACCAATTGTCTAAATTTGATTTATTGAACCTTTTTGTCTGCTTACGCCTTACTTACTAAAGATGGTTGAGATATGTTTAGCCGTTTTTACATAAAACATTTAAAAAATGAAAAACATCTAGCTTGTAAGTTATTTCTTCAAAGACATATATATAGCATCATTTTAAAGCAAACTTATTTGTCCACTGAAGGCATAAATGAATGATTGTACTGAAATGAATGAATGCATATAGCCTATTGTTAGAAAGCAGGACAAACTTATGTTTGCTGATGTTAAAATGTTTATAAAAAATACAGCTGATATTATGCCATATAATTATTTCATTACTAATGGTGATTAAATTGCAACAAGCTACGGTTCGGTACCAATTTCGTCGTCAGCTCTGTTGCATAAGGACAAATGAAAATATTAAATTTCTTGGTAACAAGGATGTCATATAACCTCCTAGATGGTATTTTTTAAGATATATGAACATCAAAACTCATGAGATACGTTTTATGACTGTTTGTTAAAAAGTGTCATTCAAGATCAATTAACAAAAATTATGGATTTTTTCCCTAATTTTTCAAAATAATTTCCCCTTCTTACATTGATTTATAATCTCGACGAGGTTTTGATCTCAATATTATAGTCCTTTTAAAGACCACTAACTCAAGTATCGTAATTTATAACTCCCGTGAAGACGCTAATTAATTTTTATCAGAGACATGTCTCTGTTGTATTTAACAAGATTAGTATATTCAACGACATCTATTGGAAGGAGTTAAGAGTTATCGTTAATTATCTACTGTCCAATATAAACAGATTGGGTTATCTCGCTTGGAAATGTGACATATTCTTGCACATGTTTTTAGGCTAATAAATCAAAATTTTGAGGTTACTATCAAACATTTATGAATGAAATGTGACAATAAATGAGTAATTGAATTATTCAAGCTGTAAGCATGAACTATCCATATAAAAGTTTAGCGACTCAATGGAGGTTTCAATAAGGCCTTACGTAAAACTTAAGTTTAAGCAGCGTTCAAGAGAGGGACATATAATAGATCCCTCTAAGTAAATAATATGTTGTTACTGTATTAAAAAGTTTACCTTTTAATGTATATTTTTTACAGAGTTACTTAGGATAAAGTTTTCTTTAATAGCCCAATATAGGAAATTAGAAAAAAAAGTCAGAAAAAGCTTTTCAAAGCACTGGCTTGCTCTACCTACTAATATTCATGGAAGAGGCCTCATGGAAGAGCCCTATTGCAAGGCAATCTCCCCTCAAATGTGTTTATGGACTCAATACACTGAGAATATTTCATTTTCAATATTTTCGTGAAATAACATGATACGTGTTTGGCATGTTTAATAGAGGGGGGGTCATAATTTTTAAAAGTTTTATACGGGGGAGGGGGGATCAAATAAAAATAGTGAAATATTATGGGGGGGGGGGGGGTGTCAAGAAATTTTGTATGTTTCATTTCAAAATGACCAGCCCACCATCCCAGGTAAAAAATGATAAGTCCCTAAAATATATGTAATAAATTTACGGCAAGAACACATTAAATAATAGAAAATAAGGTAAAATAAAAATAAATGTTATGGAAAATATTTGTAGCATAGAAAAGGGAACTTCATACCCCGAATGTCTGCATTTAGTGGGGTGTGTTAAAGTTGATAAAAAACAATTAGAACCGAGGTCGAATTGTGTGTAATAAATTTAGCTTATTCTCTTTGATTGCTTTTGGATAGTTTCTAGACTTTTCGTCGCCAGAGTCATATACATGAGAAGGCATGGCTAGCCTACGCGAACAGATAGCTAAATTATCATCAACTGTGCCAGAATTTAAAGACCCTGAAGATTTTTTTGAAGATGGTACATTTTTGTATTTATATCATATTAACCGCTGTGTCTTGTCTTGTGTGAAGATCATGCCTTTCAAAGGCACACCTCTGGTTACAGAGTAGAATATGGTGTATTTAAGTTCATCATAACAAATGGACAAAAATGGCTGTATTTCCACCTCAAAAATTACTCTGAGTACAGACTAACCTGTGCAGTTGGAAAAGTTTTAATGCCTGGCATCCACTAGATATATAAAAGTTAAATACATTTTGAGTTTCAGAAAGATAAAATCTTTTTTGGATTTTGATGGGCATTTTTTTTTCATTTCTTGAGGGTCCATGATTGGTTAAGGTTCATCATAACAAATGGACAAAAATGGCTGTATTTCCACATCAAAAACTACTCTGAGTACAGACTTACCTGTCAGAGCTCCAGATAAGAATTCACAAATTGGGGTTTTTACCCACCATTTTTTTATGTAATTGGGTGATAAAGTTTTTAAATTGCATTATCAATTCCAATTCACCCCTCAAGCAAATATCAAATTGGGGTTTTCACCACCAAGCTCCTTAATGTATTGGGTTTTTTCATCAACACAATATTGAATGTTTAGGCATGTTATAATCACATTATATCAACCCCATGCAGAAGTTTTTCCATCTTAAATGTTTTCTTTCTTTGTATATATGCTAGCTGTTTTATTTGGTTTATTCACTGACGAGCAATTATACGTTTAATTTGTGTCCGATTTTAAACGTTCTGCCAGTTTTGTATTTTCTCACAACTTATATAAACTGCAGCTGGTGTCACTAGTTGGACAGTTACTAATAACCTTTCTAGATCCCATATGATCACCCTACAGTTTAGTTGGGGTAGGCGTGGCTAAGTGTTTAGATTTTTATGTAATATATGTGAAATTTAGGTGCTGTAAGAAAGTTTTGCCAGTCCTTTCACCTATTTGCTAGATCTACTTTTTAATAAAAATAATAAGTAGTTCCCAGATTTAAGATATACCCCAAAACCTTGACCAGGTTTATAGGTTTAATGACGGAGACCACATTCAACTTAAATTTACAGTGTTAAATTTACAAATAATTCTGCAACATCAAATAAATAAATGACAATGTTAAACTGCACTTGCCAATAAGACAACTATCATAAGCATACAGAACAATAAGACCAAAACAAAAAAAGTGTCAAGATGCATTGACGTAAAAAACAGATATGTGTATTCACTCATCAACTAAAATGAAAAAAATAATATATAAACTAAAATTATACTTGAATGTTTTTGTTTAATTTAATTTACATAAATCTGGGTTAAGTTGTCCCAGCTGATTAGAACTTTAAGTTTTGATGCTTTCCAACTACATATATCATGTCATAATTGATTTGGCCTTTCACTTTTCCAACTGATTTCTTTATTGACAAAACCCAGTGTTTATAGTTCTAGCAATGTTCTCGTTAAGGTACGCAAAAGGGTCTTGTTATCATCATAATAACTTTCCCTAAAGTATCAAAAAGAAGCTGAAAACATGCTTCTATTCAATATTTTTATCGGATATTTACTTTCGTTTTAATTCATTGTATGTTATGATAAATCCCGAGCAATTCGAAAAAAATATGACAACAAGACAAACGCTAATTGGATAAACGCAGAGAAGATCGAAATGTTTTCATAAACACGTGTACTTTTTGAGCAACGGAAAATTCCAACAGGGACCCATTTCAGCTACTTGATGCAGGGCTCTATTTTTAGAACGAAAGGACATTTCCAATTATAAATATTATAAAAATAGATTTACGCGACGACTGTAATCAGATAAGGGTAAATAACGCAAACGATAGGGAATAAAAGCGTTAAGAACTCATGGTTTTGGCATATAATTGGGTTTTCCTTTGAATGAATTGGGTTTTTGAACCCTGCAATGGGCAATTGCATTGAGTTTTTAATTATTTGATTTGCGTGATCACGCAAATACGCAGCTTATCTGGAGCTCTGCCTGTCCAGTTGGAAAAGTTTTAATGCCTGGCATCCACTAGATATATAAAAGTTAAATGCATTTTGTGTTTCAGAAAGATAAAATCTTTTTTTGGATTTTGACGGGCATTTTTTTTCCTTTCTGCAGAAGGTGTAAAAATAAACAAACACCTGAATTACTTTGATACTGTCCCCTCAGTTAAACCCTTTAAACTCACCTATAGTTGTGTAGATACCTATTGTCCATGTCAATCATGGACAATCAATACAATACAATACAGTTTTTACCTGAGAGGGAACATCTCAAAGTTGTATTCCAACTTAGTTTATTTTTACACCTTCTTCATGAACGAAAAAAAAATGCCCATCAAAATCCAAAAAAGATTTTATCTTTCTGAAACACAAAATGCATTTACCTTTTATATATCTAGTGGATGCCAGGCATTAAAACTTTTCCAACTGGACAGGTAAGTCTGTACTCAGAGTAGTTTTTGATGTGGAAATACAGCCATTTTTGTCCATTTGTTATGATGAACCTTAATAAAATCTTGAATCTTGAATTTTTCATACGTCTGCTACTCTACCAACAGGGCCATGATTCCTTCCCATTACTTGAAGAAAAAAAGGAAGTAAATGTGAATCTGTTCTGAATTATAATAATGTTTTTTCTAAAAAAAAAAACCCAAATTTCATGAAAATTATTAGGCATTCCATCTAAATTCTGAACTCACCACAATAAAACAAAAGATTGGTCATATTTGTTATAAGAATATTCATACTTTGGAAATAATAACTAACATTAATCTCTACTCTATATATATCAGATTGTTTTATAACTAGTAATTTACAATTTTATTTTTTTACATAAATAGTAATGATTAGGGCAACATATTTTTTCTGTGGTGTTTGGGTCAAGTAATGCATTTTTATTTTTTTTAAATAAACCAATTTGTTTCTTTTACATTGTAAGATAATAAAAAATTGAACCATTCACAGTTTATAGGGCAAGGGAGATAACTCATATTACACAAATATTTTTTTAATTTCCATAACATCTATGCCGTTTTCCAATAGATTTATGCTTCAGAAAGATGGAATAACAGAATAAATAATCATTAAGTGGAATGAAATGTCACCATGTGAAATGAGCAAAATGTCAAGGGCATATTAGTAGCTGAAACAATATATTTCTTTAATTATTTCTTTGGTAGGAACAGTAATGCCTTACCTTAAGCAATCAATAAATTTCAAATTGTATCAATATTTGATTTGTTTATCATAACAAAATTCATTTTGGAAAGTGATGACTTAAATAAATGCCAGAATAATGTAAATGTCAAATGTCATAGTGTTATCCTTCCTTTAGAGTGACACCTAGCTATGGAATGTCTACAATAAAGAATAAATAATCACCACATTTACATCCAAGAGAAATTATTTGAAAGTCCTGGTTGTATTGCCATGATTGCCAATGGCAAGTTTTCAAATAAAGTATTTTTTGGAAAATTTGATGCCACAAAGCAAATATCTTCATGCCATGTTTTGTCCTACACTACATGAGCCCAGGTCAACCAGGGCAGTTAATTTTACATAAATGTGATTCTATCTACAGAAGTTAAATTCTCCCTTTTATGCAAGTCGTCTTTCCTCTTTCCTGTTAAAATTTAAATTGTTCCTGGTGAAGGTAAATACAGAAAAGCGCTTCTGACGCACAAAAATAATAAAGTGTTATTTTCTTTTATATTGAGTGTAGGTATAATGAACGTCAGTATATATGGTTACAAAAGGTTACATTATGGTAAGAATTAAGCACTAGGTATACCCAAAAGGTAAAACATTATTTCAAATTGGACTTAAATTAATCTTTTTCGTGAAGTTCATTCATTCTCTTCAATTTTCAGATACATCTGCTAGATTAGTGGAGAAAGGTGATGATGAGGTAGATGATCTCCACTTCACCAGTAGTAAACTTAGACAGAGGGCAGCACCACTGTTGACAGATTCTGACAAAAAATATGCTGGGAAGAGAACATCAAGAAAAAAACTGGATGAACTGGAAGAGTTAGGTAGGATTTTGACAGAGTCAGCAACAAAAATATGTAAACTAGTACAGGCATAAATTTTGGCCACTTGTTTTTTTGGGGCAAAATTTGCTATAGTTGTGACCCTGTGTATCGTTTGATCATCTATCTGTTTCTTAATTGAATAAACATCAGTAAAGGAACTTATTGGATCAACATTTCATAAAAATTGAGTGTAGCGACATTTGTACCACTTGCAACATTTGCTTGTTCTTTAACCTTGAGTGCAGCTACCACGTACAACATTTGCTTGTTTTTTAACCTTGAGTGCAGCTACCACTTACAACATTTGCTTGTCCTTTAACCTTGAGTGCAGCTACCACTTACAACATTTGCTTGTCCTTTAACCTTGAGTGCAGCTACCACTTACAACATTTGCTTGTCCTTTAACCTTGAGTGTAGCTACCACTTACAACATTTGCTTGTCCTTTAACCTTGAGTGCAGCTACCACTTACAACATTTGCTTGTCCTTTAACCATTTTTAAAGTACTAGCCTTTTGTAACTTCATGTACATGAAGGTGAGTCTATTTTGTAATGTCAACACAGCATGACCAGAAACCAAAAACAAATTTCGAAAAGTCATTTGCTAATTTTCAGGCTTCATGTTAAGCTAATGCAAGCATTAATTCATAAAGTCAATAGAAAACATGTCATACTCATAGTTGAGATATTAATGTTTTAAAAGTATACAAAAATGCAATATCCTGTATCACTTTCTGGTGTTAACATTTAAAAACAAAATCACACAATATATTACTATAGCTTAAATTGGAAGAGAAGAGTTGTATCAATCATGTGAGTTTTTTTTTTTAGCTGTCTGACAAATTCTTCCTGCTTGCCCATAATTTGAATTTTTCATTTCAATATGTAGAACTGAAAAACTGTTGTCACCAGTCTCCAGTACTACAGCACAGAATGACTTCATATTTGGTCAGCAGATTTTATATCTCAAGACACCTACTTCCTGTTTTATGATACTTTTAGTTATGAGGGGAGAGGGTATGGCTTAGCACAACAATGCTTAAATTCTTGCAAATTAATAAAACAGAAGAAGAAACTAATTGACTTAATAAGTAATTTTCTTCTAGCAATTTTGAATGTGATGTAAAAACCTGGTACACTTTACAATTATATTCCATACATCAGCTTGTCATCCATTATTTTTAATTATGAAATTTCCTTCTATATTGTACAATGTAATATTGAATTAAATATAAAATGAATTTTATAGAGAATTACCCTTATGATGAAAAAGATCAGAATTTAGATGATGAAAGTGATGAATTAGATGAAGTTGTATCGGAAGATGGAGATAAAACAGATTCAGAGGATGAAATTTTGTGTAAAGGAGATAATTCAGATGATGAAGATGAAGAAAATTTAGAAGAATTTCAATCAAGTTTTAAAGCAGCAACATTGAGTGAAAGTAAATCAGAATTCAGGTTATAATTTATTCTCTTATTAATAAGAACAATGTAATTAATTAATTACAATGTGTGTAGCTGATTTCTTTACTTTTGAAAAGAAAAATTAAAATTTATTTTATTAAAGTTAGGCAACAAGATTTCTTAAAGGGATGTTGCTTTTTGAATTGAAATATTTTTATCAGTCATACCTTTAATTTCACACAAGAGCACAATGGTTACCAGAATTTTAGAAGTGCAAAAACAAGTTGTGATCTTAGAAACAGACAAGATATGCCCTTCTACTTTACAATTTTATACAACCGTTTTATCATTCAAAAAATGTAGGGTCCGACACTGATGCTAGGTCCTTAAGTTTTCAATCATATGAAAATTACCCAAATATTTTGCATATTTTGAAAGTTTGGAAATATATTCTACTTTCTTAAATTCCTGATTTTGCGCAAATTTAATGATTTTATTACTTCTATAATAATGAAAGTATCTGAATTCATGAAAGGTTTTTTATTTCTGAGAATTTTTTTTTATAAGTTTAGGTACATATTAGGAATGTACATCTGGCTATTAAAATTCAGCCCCTGTCTTGCATCTGCAAACAGACATAGCTTTTCTTTCATTTATCATGCTTTTTCATCTGATTTTTTAATACCCATTTTCCTTAAGCCTTGGCACACAATAATACTTATACAGAAAACTGAGGACCAAATACAAAAGACAGCACAGAAAACTTTACAGTTTGTCATTGTTTTGTTTGTTTGGTGAAACATGTATTGAAGTAGATGTAAATTTCGAAACAGCTATCCAGTAATAAATGTATTGCCAACAAAAGAAACTCCAGTCCTTGCGGTCATAAAAATCTTCAGCACGATTTTTCATACTCAGACTAAGGAATCAACCATTCAAAATACTGGATTTGATTTTTCAAGCACAAATTTTGTACTCCTGAGTACTGAGTAAAGTTTTATGACCGAGGGCCCAAGGCTCACAATATTAAGACTTCAACAATAAATAGTTGTCCCTGTTTTCCTGTTTTAGTTATGAAGATGATGGAGACTACAGTAAATATGCAGATAATGATGAAATGGAAGACAATAGTGACCTGAATGACAAGGAAGATGAAAGTGACAAGGAAGATGTTAGTGGTGAGGATATGTCAGATGATGAAACTGGTGATGAAGATGAGGATGAAGAACAGGATGAGGAAGAACAAGGTATTATGGGTATAGATTCTTAAGAGAAAGTACAAAGTATTATGGGTAAAGTCAACCTGTAACATATCTTCTGGAATATGACATCACACTGTTGCCTGTGTTGGAAGATTGACACCACACTGTTGCTTGTGTTGGAAGATTGACACCACACTGTTGCTTGTGTTGAAAGATTGAGACCACACTATTGCTTGTGTTGGAAGATTAACATCACACTGTTGCTTGTGTTGGAAGATTGAGACCACACTGTTGCTTGTGTTGGAAGATTGACATCACACAGTTGCTTGTGTTGGAAGATTGACACCACACTGTTGCTTGTGTTGGAAGATCGACATCACACTGTTGCTTGTGTTGGAAGATTGACACCACACTATTGCTTGTGTTGGAAGATTAACATCACACTGTTGCTTGTGTTGGAAGATTGAGACCACACTGTTGCTTGTGTTGGAAGATTGACATCACACAGTTGCTTGTGTTGGAAGATTGACACCACACTGTTGCTTGTGTTGGAAGATCGACATCACACTGTTGCTTGTGTTGGAAGATTGACATCACACATTTGCTTGTGTTGGAAGATTGACATCACACTTTTGCTTGTGTTGGAAGATTGACACCACACTGTTGCTTGCGTTTGAAGATTGACATCACACAGTTGCTTGTGTTGGAAGATTGACATCACACTGTTGCTTGTGTTGGAAGATTGAGACCACACTGTTGCTTGTGTTGGAAGATTGAGACCACACTGTTGCTTGTGTTAGAAGATTGACATCACACTGTTGCTTGTGTTGAAAGATTGACATCACACTGTTGCTTGTGTTGTCTATCCTCCATTTACATACAACAGTTTTGGTGGTCTCATGGTAATGTGCATGTTTTTAGTATAGGAGATGATTGGTTTAATCCCTGTCTGATCAAGCCAAAGACTCTGGTCAAGCCAAAGACTTCAAAATTGGGATATTTGGTTTCTCTTCTAAGCTCATAGGATTTACGAAAAGCAAAAACTGGTCAGCTCTGATTAAGACCAATATGTTTGGAACAGGTGACACGTCTTACTGTAGTCTGTTACATTGTGAACTAGCCATTAAATATCCGGCTCAGCGTGTCAGTCTAGGGTTCATATTCATATGGCATAAACATATTTTTGTCCTAATACGCATGAAACATTTTCCACTTGATGTTAAGCACCTATTCATCACATGCAGACAACAAATAGAATTCAACTTAAAATTTTGAAAGGTGTGTTATCTCACACCTCAAATGCATATAATTGATTCTATTGCATGTTTAAACATATGAAGCATTTTTTTCCAGACTTAAAATTTCCAGACTTGCATTTCTTTATTTATAGATGAAGATGTAAAAAGTTTTTCAAGGACTAGTGTGGCAGAAGAGGTGCAAAAAGGGGAAGCTGCAAAACAACAATTAGGTATAAATTATTCATTAATTGATTTTATGAATGTATGCTTAAAATGATAGTTTGGGTTTGTCAAGCCTTTGAAAAATAATAGATATTGTCAGAATTATGACTCATGTTTTACAAGATAAGATAAGAGAAGATAATCTTTATTTCAGACTCCAAAGATTCATATATATACATGAAACAAAATATTTTGTTTAAGCAGAATACAATGTTAAAATATTTACAGTATTAACTATTATAATTTAAAATTAATATATAACTCATTTAATTTATACTTGCATGACCTTGTGTGTCATAATGTTAAAAGTCTTGATGAAGGGATCAGACAATCCATTATATCATATGCTTGTTTGTTTTTAAGGAATGACTTTATTCTTATGAAATTGTGTGATTCTAGTACTGCTGGAAAAGTTTATGCATTGGAATCACAAAATAACCTTCGAAAAAAATGTTAAAAGTAAATTGGTTTTACGAAAAATCCCCTTATTTTTTTGTAGTGAAAACTGTCTGAAATGGAGTAATATTTTGGCTCAGTGTACAATTAGATTTGGCCCTAATATAGTGTTTGTGTGACCATTTAAATTATAAATTTCAGGATTATGGGATAGTTTTCTAGAAGGTAGAATAAAACTTCAAAAAGTAGCAGGAATTATAAACCAGATGCCACAGTTTGATGTCTGGAAACAGTTTGAGAAGGATGGCGGAGCAGAGTTCAGAGAGTCAACAGCAGACAGTAAGTCATGTGTTTTATCTGTCATGATGAATAATAATCAGAATGATTATTTAAAACAGACACTTAACTGTGGAAAATATTTTAAGATCAGTGAATAAATCAATGGATGGAGCGCTGCCTCGCTGGCAGAGTGATCTAAGTACATATACTGTATCCCTAGCCTGTCAACATTGAGGCTGTCAGTTTGATACCCGCATTCAAATCCAATCTAATTGACTACAATTGTCAAAGGTCATGGTTCTTTCTGGGGACTCCGACTTATCCATCAATAAAAAGTGACTTAACATTATATCCAATCGTGCTGAACATGCTGAAAGAGGCATTAAACACCAATGATCAATCAATGGATGGAGGAATTAACACTAACACTACTGTAAAATCAGATAGTTTTGTTGTGTATTTATTTTTGCGATAGTTTAACAATAGACAAGAATTGATCTCAATTATTTCAAATTCAGGAAATGCTGCTTATAAATAATACCACAAGAAAATTCAAAATGCAGGATTTTATTTATGCGACACCCTGTTGTAAAATTCAACAATAATAAAAACATCACAAAAATTTCTGGATTTACAGCATACATGACATATAAATGAAATCAAAATTTATTTTGGCCTTTTCTAGCTTTTTAAGAAATTAAGACGAACGGCAAGATATATAAAGACATATATATTTTGTAGCTCACGCCATGTTAAAGAAATTGTTGGATAAACTGGTACAGTTACAGACGTTGTTGATGTTACAGAACTCGGAAACCAGACACATGATCAGTGGACTGTAAGTATTAAAAGTTTGACCAAATTAACTAGAAATGCTTCAACCTTATACAAATTAATTGTCTTTTTATGCCCCTCAGCTAGGCGAATGGGGCATTGTGTGTTACTGTTGACCGTCCATCCGTCAGTCTTTCCGTCCATCCCAAAAGTATTTTCACATATAACAAGCTTGAGCGGGGGCATTTTTGTCCTCAGAGACACTCTTCTTTAATTTTTTCAGTTGTCAATTATTCCTGAAAATCAAAAATAATTCAAAGAATTAACCAGTTAATGTTATTTAAATGTAATTATGGTCAAACATTGTAAACTCAAATATCAATTTCTAAATATAAATAGTTAAAAGTTAATGACATGCACAAAATGTACTTTTTACACCAGAATATTCTGCAAAGCTTGGTATTACTGTCAAATGATAAAAAAAATGAATTAGAATAAAAAATATGATTAAATTAAGTGCCATAAAATGACCAGGAATGATGTACCGTAACATAAATCAATGCATAGGAGGAGAGAAACTTGTTGAACAAACTGGCGTTGTTACCGGTTAGTTAATAAGTACGAAGTTGCTTCTATCAGCTCATTATATAAACATTGCTTTCTTACATTATGATATGAAAGCATAACGTTTCAGTTTTAAAAAGTTTTGTACAAATGTAATACAAACTTTACCTATTGGAAGAATAGGTTAAATTTGACTGAATTTTAGAAAAGCCAAAAAAGAGCAACCAAAAGATGATGATGACGATGAAGAAATTCCAAGTGATACAGATGAGGAAGAGAAACCTAAACAAAAACAGGAACCAGTGCAAGTGGGTGTGAAAAGGAAGATTAAAATTGACAATTACCCAGAGTTCCTTGCAAAAAGACATAAAGATTTCCAGACTTTCAGGTAAACATATGTTCAAATTCTAAAATGTTAGGTAAAAATGAAGTTTCCTGACTGAGATAGAGTTTACATAGGGTCGACTTTCATTATCTCGAAACTGATGGGACAATGATATAATTTTGAGTTAACTGAAATTGGCTGTGACACTTGACCAGAGATTTTATGACACTTGAACTATTGACATCTTACAACAATCACTTTTGCATTGTGGAGTCAAACATTTTCATTTGTGACATCAAAATTTTAAGGGAACGTTTTTGATATCCAGTAATGGCGGACAAATCGTTATAAGGTGTATTAGTGGTGATATGTTTGGTGTTGTATCTTGGACAACTTCTTTATTTTTGCAAATCTGTTTTTATCCTAGCAACCATTGTTTAACATTGGTATTAGATGCTGCGATTATTTTGTAAGTTTAAGATGACCAATCTTTCCAGTTCTTTGATTGATATATTAAATTTATTGTTACAGAAACAACACAATCCAGAAATGGTATGACAAGACTCGTCTGTCTGGTGGTAAACTCAAAAGTAAATCATTCTCTAACTTTGAACAGTCAGCACTGAAACAAATAGACCAGGTAAGATAATTTCACAAGATTATTGCAATTATATATGAACAAATACAGAAAAGCTCCATACATTTCTTTGAGTAAATTAACAATCTTTATCTGCTTATTTGATTATTTGTGATCGGCAATCAGTTGACTTTAAAAAAATTAATTATTGAAGGAATGTGACCTTTCACCAAACCTCAACAAGGTCACCATTTGATATTGTTACTTAAATCTTTAATCGATCAACCAGAAACAGATTCTAAATTATTAAAAGCATGATCAAATGAATACAATTAACGACATTAATTTGTTTTATAACTTAACAAGAACAGTAGCAAGAGTTTAAAGAGGGGGTGGGAGATTATTTGGCACACAGCTAATTGGATTTAGTTTTAGAACCGAATATATCTTAAATGCTTGTTAGGCTGACACTAAATAATATATCCTTTAGATTTGATTGGTTTTAGATTAAAATGGAACAAGTTGACATGCGTGAATTAGTTATTTTATAATTAGTAAACAAACAATATGAATTAAGGTGTCAAATTAGGGAAAATAATTAAACAGGTTTGGAAATGACAATTAATTACCTGCAAACACAACATGTGTCCAATATTTTTATGTTATTAGCAATGAGAACAGGATTATCATCTGTTAATGATATTTGCTCTTCTTTTTCAAAATAACAGGATTTTTAAAAGACTGTTATAAATTGATAGTAAATAAATAACTAAAAAAGCAGAAAAAAAGTCTAAACATATGTTTTCACTTGATTGTCCAGATCTTACCAAAACAAAGTTTTAAAACCACTTTTTTACTCAAAGTTCATTAATAACCTGACCAATTTGTAGATAGATGTTAACTATAAAGAAGTAAGCACAGTCAATTTTATGCCCCCACTGCAGCAGAGGGGGCGGGGCATTAAATGTTACCCTTGTCCGTCTGTACATCCGTACGTCCCTATGTACGTCTTCAAATTTGGTTTCTGTCCTATTACTTTAGTTTGCCTCAACCAAATGTTATGAAACTTATACACAATGCTTATTACCACAACACACAGACCAAGTTTAAATTTGGGTGGCATCACTTTTACTGTTCTAGAGTTATGCCATTTTTGTCGAGCCTTCGACTTTTGTCGAAAAAGCGAGACATAGCGATCCTACATTCCGTCGGCGTCGGCGTCGTCGTCGTCGGCAGCGTCCACAAATATTCACTCTGTGGTTAAAGTTTTTGAAATTTTAATAACTTTCTTAAACTATCCTGGATTTCTACCAAACTTGGACAGAAGCTTGTTTATGATCATAAGATAATATTCAAAAGTAAATTTTGCAAAAAAAAAATTCCATTTTTTCAGTATTTTACTTATAAATGGACTTAGTTTTTCTGCCAGGAAACATTACATTCACTCTCTGGTTAAAGTTTTTGAAATTTTAATAACTTTCTTAAACTATCCTGGATTTCTTCCAAACTTGGACAGAAGCTTGTTTATGATCATAAGATAATATTCAAAAGTAAATTTTGTTAAAAAAAAATTCCCATTTTTTCCGTATTTTACTTATAAATGGACTTAGTTTTTCTGCCAGGAAACATAACATTCACTCTGTGGTTAAAGTTTTTGAAATTTTAATAAATTTCTTAAACTATCCTGGATTTCTACCAAACTTGGAAAGAAGCTTGTTTATGATCATAAGATAGTATCCAGAAGTAAATTTTGTTAAAAAAAAATTCCCATTTTTTCCGTATTTTACTTATAAATGGACTTAGTTTTTCTGCCAGTTAACATTACATTCACTCTGTGGTTAAAGTTTTTAAAATTTTAACAACTTTCTTAAACTATCCTAGATTTGTACCAAACTTGGACAGAAGCTTGTTTATGATTATAAGCTAGTATCTAGAAGGAAATTTTGTTCCATTTTTTCCGTATTTTACTTATAAATGTACTTAGTTTTTCTTCCAGTTAACATTACATACAGTCTGCAGTTTAAGTTTTTAAAACATTTATTAGATTCATAAACTATCCTGGATTTTTACCAAACTTGGACAGAAGCTACTTACAATCAAAAGATAGTATAGAGAGGAAAATTTTATTAATTTTTTTCCTCATTTTTGTTGAGCCTGTGATTAACAGCAAAAAGTAGATGAGACACTGGGTTCCGCGGAACCCTTACAAATTTTCAAATGGAAAAATTGCTGAATTTTTTGTTTCCATTCTCTAACTTATGTTTGCCTCAACCAAATGTTATGATACTTATACACAATGCTTATTAACACAAAACGCAGATCAAGATCGAATTTAAGTGGTGTCACTTTTACCATTTTGAGTAATGTCCCTTTATAACGTTATATGCAAGCGAGGGCATCATCTGTGTCCTATGGATACATTCTCCATTTATTTATCAAATAAATTACTGATTATGATTTATGCAATTTGAACTGACCATGAAATCAGGGATGGGGTAATCGTAATCTGTAATCGTAATCGATTGTAATTGATTACATTTTTTCCAGTAATCGACAGTAATCTGTAATCGAAGATATTTTCGATTACATGTAATCGTAATTTAATCGATTACAGCAAAAATTATGATGTAATCATCGATTACTTTTCGATTACATTTCGATTACTTTGGTAAAATAGCTTGATGAAATATAATCTATTTTATATGAAAGTATGTATGTATTCATCACTTTATCGTACATATAAAAATAGAATGTATTGATATGACTTAAGAGTTTATCAAATGCCTTGTTTCTATCTATTGGCTCCAGCTGCTTCAACCAGATCTATCAAATTATACTGTATATCTAGCTTTTGAAACAAATGACTTTTCTTGCTGGTCAATAATTTAAGACCTTTTATATAAAAATAAGAAAATAGATTTAAATAAGAAATAAGTCTTAAGTTAAAATCTGTACTATATTGCAGAAGTAAGCTTATTTGTATTAAAATTCCTTAAAGCATAATTTTCAATAATAATTGGAATTTTAGCTTAGAATAGATAAACATTTGATTCATTATAATGTTATGACATAAAAATTACAAAGCACACAAAATCCTTTTGACAATGAACCAATGGCTATGCATTAAAATTCTTGTTCAGAAATAGAGATACATGTATCCAATTTTTGCACAAAAAATATAAATTGTTTATTATTTTGAAATGGGAATACAAAATTCTCAACAAACTTCTTGTCTTTACTAATCAGATGAACAAAGACTTCTAATCAATAAGATGAAGACTTTGTTTTGATTTCAATTATGTCTAATTAAGAGGAGATTTACATTATATTGCCCCAGGTTATAATTGTACTCCATTGGCAGTATTATAGCCTGTAATTAGGGAGGTTGTCAAAACAAAAGGATTAATTCATGCATGTAATTACAAATCATAAATTTTCATCTTTAAAATTAGCTGAACTAATTAATTATTCTACTTTTTTATAGTTTTTTTTCAGAGTAAACTTTCAACATTGTAATGAACTATATTCAAATATAGCTGTTAATAATGAGTAAAAACAAAAAACTTAACTTTAGTCAGTATGACAGCAAAAATTTGCAAAAATATGGAGATAATAACCTAAAATATAAAGAAGTGATTGATGCAATGTGATGCCATTGCAAGAACTTTATCACCAATCATTCATATTTAAAACCAAAATTTCTAGTATTTTTGAGTATTTAGGATCCTTAGACAGTAAGAGCTTCTATCTAGAAAACAACTGTCAACATAAAATTTGGAAACAATGCTTTAAATGCTATTTTTGTAAAGTTCAAAATTTCCACTAGACATACATTGAACAACATAATTGACTTTGTGTTTAACTTACTTTATTTAATTTGTAATTTTGTAGCATGTAATTGACAGTAATCGAAAAGTAATGTAATTACTTTTGCTAAAGTAATCGATTGCAATCGATTACATACAAAAATCAGAGTAATCGATTATCAATCGATTACACAAAAATCCTTAAAGTAATCGATTATTAATCGATTACATTTGTCAGTAATCGTGCCCATTCCTGCATGAAATACCATGAAAATTAGATAAATGTCAGTCCATTACAGGTTATATAGCATTTTCAGTTAATGAATTTGTTTATCAAGCATTAAAGTTAAGAAAAACCCTATGTATTAGAACATAATGATAACATTTCTTGATCCTTGTCCATTCTTACAATCAATTTCTTCTCTGATTTTCTTTTATTTCACAATTTTAATCCTGGACTGTGAGCAATTTTTGTTTTATAGATTTTAGGTGACAAAGATAGGTTGATAAAAAGAACCCAGTTGAAGAGATCTGTCTACACAGTCCTGGGTAAACCAGATGATGAACAGAAAAATGAGGAACAGATAAACAATGAACCGGTAAGTGGAAATATAGATCAGTAATAGTAAAGGCTAATGAAATTGCCTTTTATTTGGGTGATATTTAATATTTTCTGTTATTTTATGAAATGAGTAGCCAAATGCTGTAGTCGTTTTATAAGAAGGCATAGAACCCAGGTTTTAAATTGATATCAACATGATATATGCCATGAGTTACAAGCTGCTTTCTTATTCTAAGGTTTCTCATATCCATGTCCAGAGATTATGTACATAATTAGATGTTAATTTTGTCAGGCAAAACTTATGTGAAATTCATCTGAAACTTTTGAAGAACATTATGGTTTCTGACAGTTGAAAGGTTTTTATATAAAATAAATATTTTTTGTTACATGTATTTGCATTAAAGTTTGTATAGATATTTTAAAACTTTTTTTATTTGTTTAACAGACAACAGATATGACAGGAGACCATCTGAGGAATCATGATGCAGAAATATTTGATGACAGTGACTTTTATCACCAACAGTTACGGGAGTTAATAGAACGTAAAACTGCAGATATAGAAGATCCTGTGGCTATTAGCAGGTATATTGGAGAAAATATAGTGTACAGATGTTTAATTATCATATGTTATTTCATAACATTAGCCAAATTTCTTTATTTAGGGTAAATATAAGGTGCAAACCTAACTTCAAAGTACAGTAAATTTGGTTATTTTGGTTTATTTGGTGCATGTGAAGAAATTGCCAGTATTACACACTCCAAATTAAATCATCCTAAGTTTATCAGGAAATTTTAAAATTACACTGACAAAAGCTGGGTCTTGCATTTCAATTTAAATACCTGGAAATAGCAAATTGCAGGATTTATTATCCTTCCCCCCCAGACCCCTAGTCATAGTAGCCACATTGTTGGTAAAGGTTGGAGACTCTCTTCACAGGCCTATTACTTTGCAAACATTTTTTCTGGGCCCCTTTATTTACTAAATTAAGGCCCAATTGGCTACTACATGTACTGTCAATAAGTTAATTTTAGTCACTGTTAAAACACCCAAATTTGCAGTGTGTATATACAAATATAGTGCATATTCAGGTTTGGGTTTCAAAGAAAAGATGTAGTTTGATACATGACTGTAAGTTCATTTTAGTTTGGGAAAAGATTCATGATAGAAGGTCGAAATTAAACATCAATGACCTAACACATAGAGTTGGGGTGTAAAAATGTATTGCTGTAAAAAAAGAAGTTGCTAGAATTTTACAGATTAAACTTAACAATGATTGATTTAAGTTAAAGAAAATGATAAATGTTGAATATCAATTTTTTTTTGTTTGTTCTGTTTAATAAGCAATAGCCTAGATGAAGAGCAGTAATAGAAACCCTGTTCCTTTGATTATTATTACCTTGAGTCTTGTAGGATTTTTGTCTGGTATACATCCATCTCTTATCCTTTTTATACGCCCGTTTACGGGACGTATTATGGTATACCTCTGTCCGTCCGTCCGTCGTCAACATGTCAGACATTAATTCAAAAACGCTTTTACCAATATGCATGAAACTTTGGTGAATTGTTTATATCTATTGACGTGAGCTCCCTTTCGTTTTTTATAAATTTCAGATTTACCATTTCCGAGTTTTGGGGTTTTATTCATTAAAAAAGGGGGGATTTTCCAGTTTTCGGACAATAACTCTAAAACAATTTCACCAATTTGCATGAAACTTTTTGTGAATTGTTCATATCTATTGATGTGAGCTCCATTTCGTTTTTTATAAATTTCGGATTTACCGTTTCCGAGTTTTGGGGTTTTATTCATTAAAAAAGGGGGGATTTTTCAGTTTTCAGACAATAACTCAAAAACAATTTCACCAACTTGCAAAAAACTTTGGTGAATTGTTTATTTCTATTGACATGAGCTCCCTTTTGATTTTTAGCTCACCTGGCCAAAAGGGCCAAATGAGCTTTTCTCATCACTTGTTGTCCATCATCCGTCGTCGTCGTCCGTCGTCGTTAACTTTTACAAAAATCTTCTCCTCTGAAACTACTTGGCCAAATTAAACCAAACTTGGCCACAATCATCATTGGGGTATCTAGTTTAAAAAACGTGTCCAGTGACCCGGCCAAACAACCAAGATGGCCGCAATGGCTAAAAATAGAACATAGGGGTAAAATGTAGATTTTGGCTTATATCTCTGAAACCAAAGCATTTAGAGCAAATCTGACATGGGATAAAATTGTTTATCAGGTCAAGATCTATCTACCCTGAAATTTTCAGATGAATCTGACAACCCGTTGTTGGGTTGCTGCCCCTGAATTGGTAATTTTAAGGAAATTTTGCCGTTTTTGGTTATTATCTTGAATATTATTATAGATAGAGATAAACTGTAAACAGCAATAATGTTCAGCAAAGTCGTCGTCGTCCGGCGTCGTCCGAAGACACATTGGTTTTCGCACTCTAACTTTAGTTTAAGTGAATGGATCTTTATGAAATTTTACCACAAGGTTCAATACCACAAAAGGAAGGTTGGGATTGATTTTGGGGGTTATGGTAATAACAGTAAAGGAATTAGGGGCCAAAAAGGGGCCAAAAATAAGCATTTTTGTAACTTCCAGACATAACTTGTGTGTTAGTGTATGGATCTCTCTGACATTGTACCACAAGGTTCCATATCACTAAAGGAATGCTGGGATTGATTTTGGGGGTAATTGCCTCCAAATTTTAGGAATTAGGGGCCAAAAAAGGGGCAAAAAACAAGCATTTTTCTAGTTTCATGACAATAACTTGTGTGTAAGTGTATGGATCTTTCTGAAATTGTACTACAAGGTTCCATATCACAAAGGGAAAGCTGGGTTTGAGTTTGGGGGTAATTGCCCTAAACGTTTAGGAATTTGGGGCCAAAAAGGGGCCAAAAAACACATTTTTTTCTAGTTTCCAGACAATAACTTGTGTTCAAGTGTATGGATCTCTCTGAAATTGTACTGCAAGGTACCATACCACAAAGGGAAGGCTGGGATTGAGTTTGGGGGTGATGAATCATAATGGGGGTTCAAAAAATTTGGGGGGGGGATTTATTTTTTTTTCCTTTTTTTTCTTTTTTTCCTTTTTTGTTTCTTTTAAAATTTTCCATTTTAAGTTGGTTTTTTCTGATTTATATTTAAAATCAAATAATAATGATATGGTAGGAGATACACACCAAACAGGATGTGTAAATTATTATATAATAAGTATTGTGCAATAGCAAGAAATTTTCAATTGCACAGTATTGCACAATAGCAAGAAATCTTCAATTGCACAGTATTGCACAATAGCAAGAAATCTTCAATTGCACAGTATTGCGCAATAGCAAGAAATATCCAATAGCACAATATTGCGCAATAGCAAGAAATTGTCAATTGTACAGTATTGCGCAATAGCAAGAAATATTTAATAGCACAGGATTGTGCAAAAGAAGATACTTCCTATAAATTGCTTATTTCTTGACCAATTTCAATGGGGTTTTATTCTTGATTTCATGGGGTTCTTTAATATGCTGAATCTAACCGTGTATTTAGTTTTTGGATTTTGGGCCCCGTTTTTAAATTGGTCCACATTGAGGTCCAAAGGGTCCAAAATTAAACTTTGTTTGATTTCATCAAAAATTGAATTATTGGGGTTCTTTGATATGCCGAATCTAACTGTGTATTTAGATTCTTAAATTTTGGTTCCGTTTTCAAATTGGTCTACATTAAGGTCCAAAGGGTCCAAAATTAAACTTAGTTTGATTTTAACAAAAATTGAATTCTTAGGGTTCTTTGATATGCTGAATCTAAACATGTATTTAGATTTTTGATTATGGGCCCAGTTTTCAAGTTGGTCCAAATCGGGGTCCAAAATTAAACTTTGTTTGATTTCAACAAAAATTGAATATATGGGGTTCTTTGATATGCTGAATCTAACCATGTATTTAGATTTTTGATTTTTGGGCCCCGTTATCAACTTTGTCCACATTGAGGTCAAAAGGGTCCAAAATTAAACTTTGTTTGATTTCATCAAAAATTGAATTATTGGGGTTCTTTGATATGCCGAATCTAACCATGTATTAAGATTCTTAATTTTTGGTTCTGTTTTCAAATTGGTCTACATTAAGGTCCAAAGGGTCCAAAATTAAACTTAGTTTGATTTTAACAAAAATTGAATTCTTAGGGTTCTTTGATATGCTGAATCTAAACATGTATTTAGATTTTTGATTATGGGCCCAGTTTTCAAGTTGGTCCAAATCGGGGTCCAAAATTAAACTTTGTTTGATTTCAACAAAAATTGAATATATGGGGTTCTTTGATATGCTGAATCTAACCATGTATTTAGATTTTTGATTTTTGGGCCCCGTTATCAACTTTGTCCACATTGAGGTCAAAAGGGTCCAAAATTAAACTTTGTTTGATTTCATCAAAAATTGAATTCTTGGGGTTCTTTGATATGCTGAATCTAACCATGTATTTAGATTTTGGATATTGGACCATAATAGGTGAATGTCCAATTTAAAATTTTTAAGTTCTTAGACCACATTCAATCTGTGTTAGAAACCTATGCTGTGTCAAATATTTAATCACAATCCAAATCCAAAGCTGTATCAAGCTTGAATGTTGTGTCCATACTTCCCCCAACTGTTCAGGGTTCGACCTCTGCGGTCGTATCAAGCTGCGCCCTGCGGAGCATTTTATTTACAATTTTGTAAATTTTTGTAAATTTTTACAAAATATTTTCCACTGTAACTACTGGGCCATGTTCATTATAGATAGAGATAATTGTAAGCAGCAAGAATGTTCAGTAAAGTTAGATCTACAAACAAATCACCATCACCAAAACACAATTTTGTCATGAATCCATCTGTGTCCTTTGTTTAATATGCACATAGACCAAGGTGAGTGACACAGGCTCTTTAGAGCCTCTAGTTATAAATTTCAGACTTTACGTTTCCGATTTATGGGGTTTTATTCATTACAAAATGGGGATTTTCCAGTTTTCAGACCAGAACTCAAAAATGCTTTCAGCATTTTTTATGAAACTTTGGTAAATTGTGTATATCTATTTTTGTAAGCTCCCTTTTGTTTTCTATAAATATTTGATTTTGCGTTTCCGACTTATAAGATTTTATTTGTGTATAGTCTGACAACAGTTTTACTAAGTATTGCGCAACAGCACAGTGTAATGCACAACAGCAAGAAATCTTTCATATAACCAATTTCAAGTTCTTTGACTACATTTATTCAGAAACCTATAATATGTCAAATATTCAATTACAATCCAAATTCAGACCCGTATCAAGCTTGAATATTGTGTCCATTTTTGCCCCAACTGTTCAGGGTTGGACCTCTGCGGGCGTATCCAGCTGCGCTCAGCGAAGCAGTTTATTTGTCATGCAAATATATTATATCAGGACTTTATTTAGAATATGTAGAGCTTACTTCATGCTTTGTATTTTCCAGGCAGTGGTTAGAAATACAGAAACTGCGTAATAAAGTCAAAAAGAAGATAGACACCAAGGCCAGTAAAGGAAGAAAGACTAGGTAATTATAATTAAGACAATGTGTTATTTAGAATAGAAATAAGTAATGGACATGTTGGTGTAAATGTGTTCTACATAGCCCTTGGTCAAAAATAGGCAGCAGATTTCAAAAAGTACAACAAAAAAGTAAAAAGTCTAAGAAAAACAGAACACCATTACCAAAAGGTCAAAAGTCTAAGAAAAACAGAACACCATTGCCAAATAGTCAAAAGACTAAGAAAAACAGAACACCATTGCCAAAAAGTCAAAAGACTAAGAAAAACAGAACACCATTGCCAAAAAGTCAAAAGACTAAGAAAAACAGAACACTATTGCCAAAAAGTCAAAAGACTAAGAAAAACAGAACACCATTGCCAAAAAGAAAATAGTCCACAAAACACTACACTACACTTAAGTTCAGGAGAATTGGTTTCGCCTGTATCATTTTAAGTCTCTTTTGTGTAAAACTCCTTGATAAGATTGACCATCGAAACTACCAATATAATGCTGTTATAATGAATAAGCTACCAATCACTAATGTGCTTTTAATTATTAATTTTTTCAACCACCTGGCTGAGCATTGTATTTAATCGCCCACCACTGAGAAGTGCTGATAAAAATTAATGAAGTTGTTATCTAATATAACTCTATTTGTTAACTGTTATTTCAGGTACAATGCACATTCAAAACTTGTAAGTTTTATGGCACCTATGGACAACATTACATGGACAGATGAATCTAAGTAAGTTTGTAATGGATTAATTTTTTCTAAACTTCTAATTGTGATTAAAGGGGCATTAACTGTCAAATTAGTTTTCACCAGTTTGACTCAAATTCTTATATTTGATTTATAACAAACTAAAACGTATATGCAAATTACAAAAAGTATTAGTATTTTGTATGCATTTTAGACTAGATACCAATTAAATAACAATTGAGATGACCTTCCAGAATGCTGATGGTCTACAACCTGAGATAAACATTAATGTAAATACACAGACAAGCACATGCAATTTTTTAATGACGATTTTTCTGGGTCTGTTTGATTTCATGTCATAGATTAAAACAAAATGTAAAATGTTTTTACCTGTATAAGAAGGATTTTTTTGTGGGTCAAATCAGTCAACGAAATGATTCTTTTTGATGGCTTCCTTGTTTTACATTCAAATGTTGACATTCATTTCTTTTTAATAACTTATCATGCTTAGCACATGCCTAACTCATCTCCAGCTAAGGGTCAAATTGAAGGTCGCATAAATTCAGATATAGAATATGGAATAAAATTTTTGTAAACATTAATGATAGATTGAAAAATTGAAATACCCTTGCTCAAACAATTCTTAATGTTAGTGGACAGTAGACTGATTGTTATGTGTTCTTTGTTTACAGAGATGACTTGTATAAATCATTGTTTGGGAGGAGATTCCAGTCTGAAAAAGAGACAGTGAATGGAACTAACTTGTCTGCACAGGGAACTGTTGATGAAAGCTGACAACTTTAGCAGATAACAGATAGAAATTATTGATCTTTTTATATGATATAATAAAGTGCAATAATAAATTTTCTCTTATTTTCATGCTATTTTCACATTTCTCGATCGGTGTGAGAACAAAATTTCTCATCTCAACAGAAAACATTTTTTCGGCAAATAATTGGTCGAAATCCAATTATGACTTCAATTATTTTTATATTTTTCTGAATTTTCTATTGTGACTTCATGAAAGAAGGCCATCATGCCTGATAACAGCACATAGAAAGTACACAACTTTCTATAAATCTTTGAAAAGGAAGGATAAACTTTGTTTTTATATCGTCTAAAAATTATTAGAGAAACAGATTCCACCGCTATATCTCGTGTATTTATAGGATATTTCTCCACTCTCAACAGTTAAGTCTAAAATTTTTAAAAAGCTTGGCAAGCCTGGTGTTTTAAATTTCAAAATTTAAATGTCCTGAGTGGAGAAATATCAGAACACACTTGATGCAGTGGTGGAATCTATATTTCTTTTTCATATTTTGATAAGTTTCCAATGAATCTTGTTTAATGAATCAAAGAAGATGAGTTATTTATTTGTGCAGTTGCTTTGTATCCAGTTCAAGGTTTAATATTCCATTTTAAACTATTCATGGAATGAAAAACTGAAAAATTTGCAGAATTTAGTTTCCACAAAGTTAAGATGAAATCTGCCAGTTGCACATGTACATGTTACAATCATTCCATACACCATATTGCTTACAGTATCTGCGATACGGACAAACATGAAAACTTAACATTGATTACTGATCCATGAAGTGAGTTAGAGGTCTGTGAACCTGTCTGACAAACATGCAGACCTTGCAAGGAACTCTTATACCAAATATAGTTATCCTGTTACAAATAATAATTGAGTATTTCACATGACAAAAAAAAAAAAATTTATTTAAGCAGTCATTCAACCATGAAACTTCATAACATACGGCATCTGCATACACGGTAAGAAGCATCCCTGTCTTCAACCTTCTGAAATATAAAGCTTACTAGTAATAAGGTCTGGTTAATGCCATTGCCAAATAGTAATCCCTAGGTCTCACATTCTGTGACTTGTGTGGCAAGCGAGACAAAAATTAATTTCAAAATGGTGTTCATAAATAGTTACCTGCATTAAAAAATGCCTACTTGACTATTCAGACTACATTATTTTCTTCTTCTACAATGATATTGAATATCATAAAGGCATCCATTTTTTCATTTTTTGTGGTAACCAGTAACAAAGAAACAAGTACATAACCAGTTCAGTCTGAGTTATAATGCCAATTTGTACGACAAATCACATAGTACAACTGAAACTGAACACGAAAACTACAAAAACATGGTTATCAGTAAAAAAAGTTGACATACAATTTTCTATTGGAATGCATATATGGTAGAGTTTGTGTTGGACTTCATTTCTCAAGCCTACCGTTACAATTTGGTTGTCTATGTGACTGCCATACAAGTGAGAGGTTTAGCTTGCTATAAAGCTAGGTTTAATCCAACATTTTCTACAAAAGGAAATACCTGTACCAGTTCAAGAATATGACAGTTGTTTTCCATTCGCTTGATGTGTTTGAGCTTTTGATTTTGCCATTTGATAAAAGTATTTTTGTTATTTTACTTTTTGAACTGATTATTTTGGAGATCTAAATGTGTGAAATTTTATATTGTATGGTATCAATTGGTCAAGTGTTAACAGATGTTTAAACATTCCATCTAGGACAAATGGTTTTTGATTTACTGGTATTGATTAATAAACATGACTAATGCACTCACAGGTAAAACACCACTTTCAGCACTACTGGCTATTCTTGGCAGAGGAAGCCAGAGTATAAATATACCACAGTGGTGAATGTATTAAAAGTAGTTTCAGAAACATCACCTGCTTTTTTAATATGATGTGGTATTATTGCCAATGAGACAACTCTCAACAAGAGACCAAATGATAACAAGAGTGCACATGCTGAAATGTCTCGCCTTCTTTACTAATCATTGATTTTATTGATAGTCCTAAATATAAAACTTAACTACAAGTAACACATAAACTTAACATGATCCAAGAAAATGAGGTCAAGGTCAAATAAACTAAAGGAGAAATACATGTACACCTTACAATCATTCAATAAACCAAACATAGTTGACCTATTCATTGCTTATAGTTTCTAAGAAACAGTCTTAACCAAGAAAACTTAACATTGGATGACACCTACCAGTTGGACATGAACACCTTACAATCATTCCATATACCAAATAAAGACGACCTACATCTGATATATGGACTTAACCACGAAAACTTGACCTTGGTCACTGATCCATGAAATGAGGTCAAGGTCAAATGAAAATTGTCTGACGGGCATGAGGACCTTGCAAGGTACGCACATACTAAATATAGTTATCCTATTACTCATAACAAGAAAGAAATTAACATTACAAAAAATGTTGACTTTTTTCAAGTAGTCACTGAACCATGAAAATGAGGTCAAGGACAATGGACATATGACAGACAGAAACTCCGTAACATAAAGCATCTATATACAAAGTTTGAAGTATACAGGTCTTCTAGCTTCTAAAATATAAAGCTTTTAAGAAGTTAGTTAACGCCGCCGCTGGATCACTATCCCTATGTCGAGCTTTCTGCGACAAAGTCGCAGGCTCGACAAAAATTGAGCAACTACAGTCACAGTACAGCATTCAACCAAAAATAAATACTGAACAGCAAGCTGTAAAAGGCCCTGAAATGACAAATGTTACACATTTAACACCAGACAACTAATGACCTGATTTATGTACAAAACAAATATGATAAATGGAAACAAATGACAACCTCAGGTTCCTGACTTGGGACAGTTGCATACAGAATGTGACTAAAAATGTAAGAACTAAGGAAGGAAATGAATAGCTGTTTAATATCCAGTGACAAATAAAATGCATATTCATAATAAAAGCAAGTTAATGGAATATGAATAATAATGAACACTGCTTTCTACTTCACAATGAAACAAGATTTTGAAAGTGCTTATTCACACAGTAACAATCCATTGTAACACACATGACCCTACCTGGACACACTATTCAGATTATTAGCTATCCTTTCTTATCATTTACTCCTAAGTGCTGCATGCTTAGCAGAAAAGCAGCAAATACCATTTTTCCAGTCTGTGATGAGGCCAGGGAGCGGACCTTCTGCCTCCTGTGTTTGAGACAAGCAAGCTACAATTAGACAACCTAGGTGGTAAAACAAAGGAAGGACCCACCACATCTAAGTGTATGTGTGTATATATATGCAAATCATATCGCAATTATCATAAAATAAACCTCTACCGTAACCATGTTAACATGGACAAATTTCGCCAGCAACAAACAAAATTGAAACATTGATTTGTATAATTTTATTCACATTTTTTACAACAGTTTTGCTAAAACTTTTTTCAAATTTTATACAAAATGTATAATATCTCTAGGTTTTGTCAATAATGAATAGTAAGGTGTTCATTTTATCTTTTAATTTTTTCATAGAAACTTGTATACTGTCATATTGACAGACATTCAAGTTACTTTGTAAACAAATGATACTAAAAAATATGCTATGTTCATACGTTTTAATTTTGATCTTATTCCTTGCTTGTTAAAAAACTTTTGAAATTGAAACTTGAAAATTTTGTGTATTTTTTTTTAATTTCAAAGTACATTGACAAACTGGCACAAACAGGCACGTTTCTAGAAACCTTACTCTTCAGTAATTCAATTTAAAATAATAAATTATAACGTTCAAAAACAAAACTTAACAAATACTAAAATCTTGTAAAATACTCCAATGCCTCATGTAAAAATACAATGCAACAAAGTGATGTACCACTAGTCTGCCAAGAGTTTTATACAATCAGATAAATGGTTAAAACATTTTCTTTTGTCCTTGATAGTATGTGACCTTTCAATATTATGATTGCTTTAGAAATATGTATTTACAATCAGTTTTATAAAATTTTAAGACTGAAAATTTGATTTTTTGGGTTTTATACTCTTACATGGACTCTGAATTCTGTGAAGCCAATGCTTGAATAAAAATTTTTTCCCATTCACAGTTTCCTATAATGTTTATATAAATACAATCATCTGAAACTAAGAAAACACTAATGCACCAAAAACAATGGCATTTTTAAATGTCTGACTCCAATAACTTACGGTCAATGATGAATTTATTAAATGAATGTGTTAACAATGACATGATGTAGTTGTTAAATATTTGAGATATAAATTATATTTAACTATTTCCAAAAAAATATTTAAAAGTTACTTGCTTTAAATAAAATGCAAGATATCAACAATGACAATGAATGACATTAAAAACTCCAAGCAGACAATGCACAATCTGACAAATGATCAAATTTTGACTCAGTACATAGATGTTCTAGACTGATATAAGTAATTATCATGATGAATTTATTACATATAAAAGAAACCAATCTTTATCTAAGAGACACAAAGATGAAAGACTACCGAAAGCTTTTTTTTTGCAATTGCATAATGATTTTCAAACAATGGAAATTTTAAGTTAGTAAAATATATCTACTGTTATTTAAGTCTTATTTACAAAAGAAATTTGTACAATTCATTCTCAGGAATGTTGAGGTACTAGTTTCACTATTTACAATTTCATGTTGATAAATTTAGAAATCTAAAAGAAAACAGTATTTTGTACGATGAAAAGCTGCCCTTGCATATATGACATGTTTCTCTATATATAATAAAAAATTTAAGTCTACCAGTCTTTCTTTTTTAAGTACTGACATTTTTACGTTTTTTTTTCTCTCTAAAATGGATGTGCTATGTTTACATTTATGAAACTTCAGGTATCAGAATTGAAATTTAAACTCAATCATTCCAGGCAGATTAAATGGGTTGTAATTATGTTGATTTAACATTGATTGGTGTTGTTTCAATATAAATACAACCTGTTTTGACTGCTGTATTATAATGAGATCAATTATTCAAACAAGGAAAATGAACTTGGTTTACTAATTTTATTGGTTATTTTTTTCTTTTCTTCAATGCAATGGCAAAACTGTTTCATAACATAGTAGATACATATTCTCATTATCAACATTATTCATATCATTTAAAAGTATAACAAATGTAAAACTGGAACTATACAATTCTTTGACAATTGGCAGGATTTGTTTACATGTCTTGATATAGTTGACCCACACTTGTTACAAAAATAAGGCTTTTCTTCATCAGGGAGACACTGTGCAAATCTCATAACTGATCTATTCATACCTTACCAGGGATCACCACAGATAAATTTTCAAGAGTGGTGCTTAAAATATAATCATTTCAATTAATATTTATAATGAAATTTAACCCATTTCCAATACTTTTATTTATACATATAAATATATGTGTATATGTATCCTAAACTATGACAAAAATTAAAAAGTTGATTATTATAAGTCACTTATTAAATCTATACTGATAAATAATGATTTTTTAAACTTCATATGATCCAAAAATTTAAGGTTGATACCAAGTAAATAAAGAGTGGGGCTTAAAATTTAGGGTGAAGGAGCGTCACCCTAAAATAGCCTTTGGTGATCCCTGCATACCAAATCATTGTAAGAAATGAGGATAAACCATATCAATAAGACATTTATAAACCATTAAAGACAAAAAGTGCTTGAAAATATATCTAGGTCAAGATTTCAGATATTTAGGAGATCCCAATATACTGGCATTATAGAAACTTTATGTACATGTAAAAATAGCTTATCACTTATATAATATATTTTATAATTAATTTGATGATATCATTTTTCTATACACAATTATTTTGTCAAATGAAATAATTCAAATGAACACAAAAATAGCTGCCTTGACCCTCGATTTCTCCCTAATCTGAGCTCTGACAGAAACATTATTAAAATATGAAAATCTAACATCTGGTTGTATACCCCCAATGACTGGACAAATCAAATTTTAATGGACTTAAGAACTATTCATCTCACCAAATTTTATAGGATATATTCACAAATCATGTGTGCATAAAAATATAATAACAATTTTTTTAATATAAACATAATATTTATCAGATCTTTCATACTTTTAAATGCTTTAGTAACATGACTAAAAACTTTTTTTGTTTTCTAAAAAAAATAATTGAGGCAGTCTAAAAATTTAGAAACTATTCAATGTCCACGTTTTCTGGTGGTATACCAAGATGAAGATTTCTATATGGATTTAGATATATTCTCAGCACAATAAACAAATCACCACATTACGTCTTTAACGTGAATTTAATTTTCTTTTTGATTAAGATTTAGACAGACATACGATATATAACACATAAACAAATTTAAATATACCAATAACCACTTATTTTTGTAACTGTTAACATTTTCAATTTGTTGCTCAATCTAATAAACATAAAAATGTTTTTATTTGTAACAAGATAGTTTGAAAATCTTGAGAATGTACTGCAAAAACAAATTGTATAGAGCAGATGAACTAAATTTCCATTAAAGACATTAATATGGTGATTTGATTTAAAAAAACATAAAACTTATGTATAACATGTATAATAGTAAACAAAACAATAGCACTATTATAAACTACACAACAAATTTGTTGTTTTCAATTCTTGTCCGTGATGACTTCCTCTTTGTGAAGCGATTGTCTCTACAATTGTTACAGACGAATGTTTCTGGGATATTGTTTTTACGAATTTTAGCACAAGACAGATGAATCCATGTTTCACACACCGAACATTCAATCATTGGTCTTCCTCCATAGGGTTTCATACAGAAACAGGTTATCAACTCGTACGACTCATCATCTGAAAACAGTACGATTAGAAAATCAAGTTTGTAAACAACAAAAAATGTTTTGTTTTACTACATATAACAGACTTTAAATCCAAATAATTTGTCTGCTGAGGTCAGTTACATCAATCTTTTGTACACTAAGAAATAACATTATATCTGTATTGCATGCAATTCTCTGCAGTTTTATGTTCTATTTGCATTACATGTACATGTACATGTATGTTTTTTGTGTATAATCCCATTTTTTTCATCGTAGTTTTTTTAAGTCCATTATCCCACACTTATGATAGATAGTTTAGTCACTTGAACCCAAAGCATTAGTATATATCAAAAATGTATATTTAAAGAATGTCTGATATGCAAAACAAATAATCTCAGTTCTGGAAATCCTCACCCTATGTAAATTTGTACAAGTCTCTATAAATAACATGCCAAGTTAAACACATTATAAATAAACTAAGTAACTTTATAAATTTTAGAGGATTTTGAACCAGAACATTCTCCAAGCTTAATCTAACTACTGGTATACATTATTTCATGTACATCCAATTAATCATAGAATTGCACCATTAATACATGTAATATCTTCTCTACATTTGTTATATCTTTGATTACAAGGAATGTTCAACCTAAATGGGAGCAAAATCTGGAATATATGTATCTCAAGACCCCAATAAACAAGGAAGATATGCTTACCTGAATCAGGCATATCTGGACCCATTGAAAGATGACTGGGACTGCCTGCGGAGAGGGTTGTGTCTGATGTATAACTATCTGCAGTACTCCCACTGCTGTCTAAGGGACTGGCGTTATGCTGACTTCTCAATTCCTGAAAATTACAAGTTAACAATTCTTCATTCCAATCAAGATCAATAGTCAAACTGAAATCACGTTTTGAATTGCTTAAAGCTTAAAAGAATAGCTTCACTTTGTAATCATACATTTGCAGTGTATAGACATTTGTACTATTCATACAATTGAAAATATTTGAAGTATTGTTTTGGTCCTGAAAATGCAATATATGCATTCACCACTTATTTTTTTCTCCCTGAAGTCATATATGTTTATAATCACAAGTATTTAGTTTGTACAAATTATGACATGTTTGTATGTTACAGTACTTTTATACCTGAAAGTGTGAAAAATTGCCCCGAGGAAATGTCACCCCTCCCAATACATTCTACAATAATGATTGTAATTGTTCACTCAACCAGGAAGTTAAAAGCTTTGATCTATTGAAATCAATGATCAGAAAATCAATTTCAATCAGCAATCAATTTTCATTTTACATATGTAATTTGATATTCAGTAACATTTGTTTATTTGTAGCAGTAAGTTAATCAATGTTTGTCAAATAAAGTGTCTAAATGAAATAATTTGATACTATATGTACAGTACTACATTTAAAAACTGTGGTCTAAGAAATCTTGTACATGTTGTAATCAAGAAACATCAAGAAAATTGACACGAAAATTAAGTATTTCATCAAGAATTACGATCTTTATAAATTTATTCATATTGACACTTACTGTTTGAAATAAAAATAAAACTACAGCACTATAAAAACAATTACAGATGTCTAAAATAGAATAAGGATAAACTAGATTATATTCAATAACATTTTTTTTTAAATAGGCAAGTAAATTTTGTCTGAATAACTACTCACATCATGTTTATGTGATTCATACTGCGTATATTCCAAAATCATGGTGCAAAAAGCATAAAAATCTTCTTTGGTTTTCTTTTTCTTTGGAGGCGAACTACCAGTATGCTGAAATAAACATAACAATAAATAAACTAAAATATCACAAACCCCGGTGTATTTAAACAAATGTTAATAAAATTAAATTTATATGATTCAAAAAACAGTTTTAGTGAATAATAAATATCTACATTGTATATGTATGATTCATAAAATTCCTTCAAAATTTGCTCTGTTGAACAATGCTAAATCCAAAACTACAATGGTCCAAAAAATCAAAATGAATTGTATTTTAATTCAATTATTTTGCAGCAAGAAATTAAAGACAAAAAGGTTTAAGTTACATATACCCTTAATGATGACCCAGACAGCAGAAATCTGTCAATCCAAATTATAAAAATTGAGTACATGTATGTCTTATGCAGCATGCATATAAAGATCATTGATTGATCTTTGCTTTATATCAAGTGGCAAATATTTCATGTATGTTCAAGATGAGAATGAATTATAAACAATTACAATAGCTAGGTTCTGAAATGCAGAGGTCAACCAGGACAAAGGGTGGAAAATTAGGGTGTTGGATAGGAACAAAAACTTAATCTAGCAACAGACCAGACCACTTACAGACCCCTCATAGTGTTGCTGCCAGAGATCTATTACTTGCAAGAGAGCTTGGTACTCTCTATACAAGACATCACCCATTTAAGCAAGGGTTTTAACATTTACTACAGGAATGGGAGAAGTCCAAGGATTAACATATTTCTATACCCCAGTCAACACTTCAGGTTTAAAAGAAATGAAGATAATAGTTTATCAAATAAGCTGCCATTCTACTGGACTACTGCTGTTACTGAAAAGTCCAGTGTTATAACGCTTACCATAAATTAAAGGAGACATATTATTAAGGCTTAGACCAAAAGTCTGAATGTTTAACTGCAATGGCTCCAGCCACAGGCCAATATACTGATAGAGAGTTGTCTTTATGCTAAGCCACAGGCCAATATACTGATAGAGAGTTGTCTTTATGCTCAGCCACAGGCGAACCAGCACATGCTTGATACTATCAGTTTTATAAGAATTTCAACTACAGATTTGCATATGTGTTCACTAAGGCTGACTGTCTTAGCAGGTTTCAGTATGCTGCAGCTATGACAAGCCCTAGACATTGGGTCTTACAAGAAACGAAAAATTGTCAAAATTGAAGGTTTTATCTTGGAGAACCAACATTTCATCCTAACCTGATGCAATGTTCTGACTCTGAGCTGACCAGTCTTAGCTCTTTATGATAAATACTGGCTGCTTAGAGGTGAAGCAACCAATTTTTGATTTGGGATCAAGCCCAAACCTGCCATGTTGTCTTTAACAATAAAAATAAATACATGAGGCACCATATATCTAAATCTCACCAAGACCATGTTTAATTTATCAAGAAAAACATGTTGAGAACAATAAATAAACTTTGCCAAATTCATACATTGATCTTTTGTTGCATTTATCATGTTTATAAGATTTGTTCTCCGCATGTTCAATCAAAAGTGCAAGATTGTTGCAAATTAAACATACTTTGAAATTTTGTTAATTCAGTATTCTCAATTTTAATTAATCATTGGTATTATAGTATTTCAAACCTTATCACTAATTATACACAAATACTGGATATCATAGATGTCTCTGTAATATGTTGTCACTGCAAGAGAAACACACACAAAGAAAAAGTGATTGTTTAATGACATCAAATCATGCCAGATAAATTGTCACAGATTTCAAAATAGACCTTAATACTTGACTTCAAGTTTTCAGACAATAAACAATCATTTTTTTTCACTTTAGTGTCAGATGTTTCTCTTGTGAGGTAGCTGTTAATAGAACTTCTGTCAAACTTTGCAGACACCTGAAGGTATTCTGAAAATTTTTATTTGTATATATTTGATTATCAAAAGAAATCAGATCCCATGCATGTGCAGCATAGACACATAAGTGCCTACCAATTTATCATAAGTGTGTTGATCCAGTTCTTTATTATAAAGAGGACCTACTGATAAAGTACATCAATATAATGCTGGCCTGTGATTATGTTTGCTCATTTAGTATGTTCTCTATCATTACGTCAATAAAATGCACTGACTAACATGTACTGGACATGTAATGGGAAGTGCTAAAGACGGGTTCAATAGTGACAGCAGTTCCCTACACATAAAAATACTATCTTCATAAAACCAATATGTCAAAAATCCTATTGAGCTAAATGCACATCCTCTTGTAGCCAAATGTTATTCAATGAAAGGACATGGTCTAGAAAGCATTTTTAATACATTATTGTACGTTAACACAATGTTTACCATTCCCCCTTTTTGGACACAAGAAAAGGAACAGTAGATCTTTGTTAATATTGAAAATATCGAAAAACAATGTTATTAACAATCAACGGTAACGTTATTTGAACGGAATCCTGCTTTTCTTATCGTCTTGAAAATAATTTAAACGGTTGTAAAACGACCCAGTCATGGCCGACTTGTTCAGAAATACCAAGCCGCCATCTTTGATAACGAAATTTTCAAAGAAAACATATCAACATTTCTTACCTCATATTCTGGTCTTCCAAGAGGTTTCCTGTTTTTAGGTGCTGAAACAATAAGAAAAACACGATTAGTACCACAAATCATTAATCTGTTACTCCTGTTCAAAGTAAACCCAATTTCTCTACAAACAAAAGAATATGGAGGACTCGGTTTTTGTTTACCAAATTTTAAATCTTCATAATCAGATTAAATATTGAATGATGAGAATGGACACCAACTAAATATGAATACATAATGATTCCTAAATCATATTCGAACAAAAATTCGTTTCAAATCAACTGTTTTCTGGACAAATACATCAAATGTTTTGACCATGGAGACGAGCGTTTGTGAAATCGACAGACTGCCTCTCACAAAATTCACTGCATACGAAATATCTACTGATTATTTATCAAGAAAAAGTGTAAAATATGAAAATCTTACCTTTAAAGATATCTTCTGTCATCCTTTAACTATTTTCCTTTCACTAAATACAGAACAATCCACAATTAAAAACTTCGAAATCCAGTCGGCTGACATGCAAACGGTTCCTTCCTGTGGAAATGGGATACTATGCGTCGCAACCTTTGCGCAGGTCACGACCTGCAAAATTAGCATGAACGTCAATCGGTTTCTAAATTTAGAATAGTTGTAATTTTAAGGTGAAGGTCGTCCAAAGAAAAAGTGGCGGGAATATTTGAACTCGTTTGGAGGACTCAGCGGCTCTTTTCACAAAAAAAATCTTAAGAGTAAAAATACTCGAAGTCATACACATTTCAGTATAACTTACAATCAATTTTAATCGTAAGATCTTTTGTGAAAAGAGTCGCTGGTCTCAATCTCAAAAAAGTATGAGAACAAATTTTATGAAAAAGACATTTTGACAATATTCCAGTTACTCCTGTCTGGGACTATTATACTAAGAATAATATACTATCTTTTTGATTTCTATTATAATAGTCCCCAGCTCCTGTAGAAATCAAAAAGATAGAAACGATAGAACAGTTCAAACAAAGGGTATTATAATTTCTTGTTTCTAAACTAAAAATGTAATTATCAGATGAAATTTATCTATATTCTAAAAAATCCATATATTTATCTTGTATATCATTAACAAAATATGTTCATGAAACGATTCTGTATGTTTTTCTCCATTTGTTTTGCATAAAAAGATTTGTATAGTAAGAAGGTCTTACTATACAAATCTTACTATACAAATCCTTGATGTATGTATGTATATGTATATATTATATTATTGTTATATTTTGAATTATTCAGAGGAAATCAGGGGAGATAAGTATTGTACTAACTGATTTTACCCTCTTTGAATAAAGTATTTATTATTATTATTATTATATAATTAAAAAATTTAGATGTCATATATTGTTGTTCAAAGATTTTTTATTTTTTATAGATAGCAACTTTAACCCAGTCCCCCCTTATGGAAGGCAGGAATGCCCTTTAATGTGAGGTGTCAAACGGTCATTTTCGGCTACTGTTTATAGTGTTTACATCGTGATTCGTCAAAATATCCTTATCGTGATTTGTCATAGGTCTCAAATAATAACCAGTTACCGTTTTTTTAGGAAAGAATTTAACGTGATTTGTCAAAACCATTTGATTTTTTTATCGACATAAAGAAAATTTACATTTTATCGTCATTTTTCAAAATCATGGATCCTCATCTGGATTGTTGATAAAAAAAACTTGTTAATTAAACTTTTTCATAATAGTTGTTGAATAGTTAGGTGTATTATAATTTTCTTTCAGAATCAATTCACACTATCTACATTTCATGTGTCCTTACCTTTTCTTTCAGAATCAATTCACACTATCTACATTTCATGTGTCCTAACCTTTTCTTTCAGAATCAATTCACACTATCTACATTTCATGTGTCCTAACCTTTTCTTTCAGAATCAATTCACACTATCTACATTTCATGTGTGCTAACCTTTTCTTTCAGAATCAATTCACACTATCTACATTTCATGTGTGCTAACCTTTTCTTTCAGAATCAATTCACACTATCTACATTTCATGTGTGCTAACCTTTTCTTTCATTATGGTTTTTCTCTCCCACTTGACTCTTGCATTGCCTAAGTTCTAAGGAGAGGTCTCATGGAAAAGCTGCCAGCTAATATGAGTACAGGAAGACAATACACCAAAAGAAGAACATTTCTGAAGATTGAATCAGATAAAGGATTTTCTTTCAAAAAAAATCCAAATGTACAAATGTTTAATAGTAAAACTTAGCCTTTCAAGTACATAAAACATATTCAACTTTTTTTAAAATTTGAATTAAGTATCATATGACTTTAATATAAAAAAAAGATGAATATTAAAACCACAGACAGACTTTTTTGTACCAGGGGTAGAAATAGGAGATCTTCTGCTGGACCATGTCAATAGAACTTATCAGATTATATAGATGGCAAGGTAAACCCAAGGTAAACTTGACAGTTTTCCCAGCTAATTTCTTTAATTTACACTACTTAAAGGGCAAGTCATTAAAACATTTTAAGACATTTTTAGAATTTTAGAGGGAGCTTTCTTGGCAAATTTTACAAAACATAACTTAATTAAAATATTTGTATCCATTTGAATAAATTAAAGGAAATGTGGGTCATATATCTGTATGAAAAATATACAGTTTCATGCAAGAACTTGGCAGTTTTCACAACATATTATCATATTTTTGAACAATTAAACTCATTATAAAACCTTAAAAATGACTCAAACCTTCAAAGTTCACAGAATCGAGTAAATTTTGAATACTGTCATCAAAAGATGAATGGGAAGGATGTGAATTCAAAACCAACTTACAGGAGTAAAGCTATGTATTACCTTTCATATACAAACTACTGTCTTTTGATGCAAAATTTTCCATCCATATTTTTTTCTGATACAGTTAAATGCAAAAAAATTTTCAAAAACGTATAGACTTTGCAATCATATACAATAAAATGCTTCGCTGGGCGCAGCTTGATACGACCTCAGAGGTCGAACCCTGAACAGTTGGGGCAAGTATGGACACAACATTCAAGCTTGATACAGCTCTGAATTTGGATTGTGATTAAATATTTGATACAGCACAGGTTTCTGACACAGAAAGAATGTGGTCTAAGAACTTGAATTTTTTTAATTTACCTATTATGGTCCAATGTCCAAAATCAAAATACATGGTTAGATTCAGCATATCAAAGAACCCCATATATTCAATTTTTGTTGAAATCAAACAAAGTTTAATTTTGGATCCCAACTTGGACAAACTTGAAAACTGGACCCATAATCAAAAATCTAAACACATGTTTAGATTCAGCATATCAAAGAACCCTAAGAATTCAATTTTTGTTAAAATCAAACTAAGTTTAATTTTGGACCCTTTGGACCTTAATGTAGACCAATTTAAAAAACGGGACCCAAAATTAAAAATCTAAATACACGGTTAGATTTGGCATATCAAAGAACCCCAATAATTCAATTTTTGATGAAATCAAACAAAGTTTAATTTTGGACCCTTTTGACCTCAATATGAACCAATTTGATAGCGGGGTCCACAAATAAAAAATCTAAATACATGGTTAGATCCAGCATATCAAAGAACCCCATATATTCAATTTTTGTTGAAATCAAACAAAGTTTAATTTTGGACCCCAATTTGGACCAACTTGAAAACTGGGCCAAAAATCAAAAATCTAAATACATGTTTAGATTCAGCATATCAAAGAACCCCATATAATAAATTTTTGTTAAAATCAAACAAAGTTTAATTTTGGACCCTTTGGACCTTAATGTAGACCAATTTGAAAACTGGACCCAAAATTAAAAATCTAAATACATGGTTAGATTCGGCACAACAAATAAATAAATGTGGTCAAAGATTTTACAAATCTAATGCGCCATACTGTGCAATTAAACATTACTTCTTGAAATTTTTCAATATTTGAAATTTGAAAAAAAATAATATTTGAAGAATAATTCTTTTTAATTTCTGATATCTGAAATGAGAAAAAAATTTACCCCCCACAATTTCTTTTTACCCCCCCCCCCTTTTTTCCCCCAAAAAATTCTTTCCCTCAAGATATGGTCATAATCTCAATCAAATTTCCAATGGAGTTTGCAACCATAATTACCCATTTAAATTTACCATAGTGCTAACTTAATCTATTTTATAATAGAATTTAAAATATAGTGTCAAATCTTTCATATGGATTTTTTTGTAAAAAAAAAAGATGCAACATTTGCAGTATTTTTACTGGTCTTCCTTTATAAATATGCATTTCTTTACACATAATTTAAAAGCAGTGTAAGGGAAGTAACCAAAACGTTGTATTTGGATTACCTCCCTTACACTGTTTTAAATTATCTTAATTGTTCATTAACCATTACTTTATACATAATTTAAAAGCAGTGTAAGGGAGATAATTTCAATGATGTATTTGATTTATCTCCCTTACACTGCTTTAAATTATGTTTTGTACTAAAGAATTTGTCCATTAACTAGGACAACCTTGTTTTTTCCCCTTTTTTGCCCCTAATTCCTAAACTGTTTGAGCCATAACCCCCCAAAGCAAATCCTAACCATCCCTTTGTGGTATGGAAACTTGTAGTATAATTTCAGAGAGATCCATACACCGTTCCACAGTTATTGTCTGGAAACTAGAAAATGCTTATTTTTGGCCCCTTTTTGGCCCCTAATTCCTTAACTGTTGGTACCATAACCCCCAAAATCAATCCCCACCTTCCTTTTGTGGTATTGAACCTTATGGTAAAATTTCAAAGAGATCCATTCACTTAAACTAAAGTTAGAGTGCGAAAACCAATGTGTCTTCGGACGACGACGCCGATGACGACGATGACGACGCCAACGTCATACCAATATACGACCACAAAATTTTTTTGCGGTCGTATAAAAATTGTCCAATAGCTATGTACGGCACTGAATAAAATTTTGGTTTTGTTGATATTTGTTACTTGAATTGCTGAAAAGTGTGTAATTATATGGTTTGTTTTTTAGACTGTAATATTAAATTTGCATATGGTTTCATAGACTTTCTAATTTTGACCCTCTAAATAACACAAATAAACAGGAAAGTGACCAACAAAGCCTGTTTTAGCAGCTAAGACCCAACCTTAAATGGATGATCAACCTTGAAGACCCAGTGAACAAATACAAAGACAAGTCTTGAGCATAGACCATTTCAAAACCGTCTTATAAAACTGTTAAAACAACAAGATATGTCTTGTGTTCCTTGCAGCAAAATAAAGCATTGGTTAAACATTCATATTAAATGTACTGCATGTATATGGCAGTGCATTTTCCTTTTAAAGTACATCTAATATAAACTAAGGAGATGTGGTATGATTGCCAATGAGACAACTATCCAGCACGCCATATGAAGTGGATTTAAGCATATATAACCCTTCTACCTCACCAGATAAAAAAACTTCAACTGAACAATGTAATTTTCTTCAAATTCAGCAGAAAATGACTAACGAAATAGGCCTAAAATATAGTTTCAAACATAATTTTGTAACTGCCTAAGGGAGCTACCATTTGATTTTTATGGGGGGGCTAGGATGAA